GGAAAAATTCTTCTACGTAAGAATTGCTCGTATTTCCAACAATCTGCCGCCCAATCTTAAAATATTTAATTCTTCTCTAAAATGTTATAAGCGTAAGTTATATGATCACTTCAATCAAAATATTGTTTAATAATTTTCATGGTTTTCTTGTGTTTGTTTTTGTATTTCTCTTGTATAGCTGATTCATCTTATTATTTAATCAATTGTTATTTTTTTTATTTGTTAATTTGTTTTAATGTTAATAATAATTTTAATTAAGCACTTTAAGATTAAGAATATTATAAATAATTTTAGAGTAGTCATGTATAGAAGTTTTTGGAACCGTCAATGGCCCTATGGGCTAGGTAACTGTGTTAATTGAATATAAATTAAAAAAAAAAAAAAAACATAGATGCAACTACCAACAAGTCGACACTTGAACTCATCCACCTAGTTGCTAAGTCTAGACTGTCGCAAGTTCTGGAAATTTAAATGATCATACGTAATTTTAACATGAAAACAAGAAAGCATTGCTGAAAAATTGAGTATCTCTGACTCAAGATTCCGATCAAGAGACATCTAAATAAAGCAACAGGCTGGGGATCAAGTTTATACAAGTTTGAAAAGCATGAAAATGAATAAAATTAATTCTTTAAATGTCTAAATGATCAAATATTATACCACATTAACAGCACCAGCAAACCAGGAGCTCCGCTTATCTGCACATCGAGATCGAATGGCAAATTCAGTTAACCAGGGAATAACTTTGATAGTGAATAACTTTTTCGCAAATAGGATTTATGGGGACTTTTTGTTATTTTTGTAATGCTCCATATCAGAATCCAGCTTTGTGAGAATTTTTTGCACTTACAAATGTCTATTTTGACTAGACTATAAACTTTCAAATAGTGTGGGTTACACCTTTTGTATTTTATGAGAAAATAAGACAAAGATTTCTTTTGAAATGACTTAGATAGTTTTCTGGCGGACATAATTCATAAACCCATAACACCACAAAACTGGCTTATCAATCTTCTTCTTTTTCGGTATCTTCACAACAGTCTCCTATTTCTTGTTGCTTGTTTTGTCCGGTAATGAATTTTTACCTTTTCGAATGTCCCCATTTTACAAAATATGACCCCTTTTCGGGAAGATTTGTGTTTATTTTGTAATTGGAGCCATCACAAATTGCTTCACAGGCCTTTCATTGTCCCTGAAAGCTTCAGCGCTTATGCTGGATTCGATTTCAGAAAATTTACCTTCGCTTGCGCTTATTAAAGCCAATCAATCACTGTGGGGTTTTTATACCCTCCACCATACTATGGAGGGTATATTAACTTTGTCATTCCGTTTGTAACTCATCGAAATAATGATCTTAGACCCAACAAAGTATATATTTATATTCGATTTAGCGATGTCCGTCTGTCTGTTGTAATCACGCTATCTTTCGAACGAATTGAGATAGATGGCTACAATTTTGCACACATGTTTATTTTTCCAGTAGGCAGGTTAAGTTCGTAAATGGGCCATGTAGATCCACGTTTTCATATAGTCCCCATGGATACTACACCCTAAGACAGAAAATTGTCTGTTCAGGTCCACGTCTTCGTATAGCCCCAATATAACGGTACCTCCCGATATTCGGTATTTTGATAATTTTAGCGACATTATTTACCGTAATTGTTTCAAATTTAGTATTTAAAGTTCGAAATGGACACTACACTCTAAGACAGAAAATAGTCTGTGCAGGTCCACGTCTTCGTATAGCCCCCATATAACGGTGCCCGCCTATATTCGGTATTTTGACGATTTTAACGACACTATTCACCGGAATTGTTTCGAATTTGGTATTTGAAGTTCGAAATGGATACTACACCCTAAGACAGAAAATTGTTTGTGCAGGTCAACGTCTTCGTATAGCCCCCATATAACGGTACCTCCCAACATTCGGTATTTTGATGATTTTAAGTACAATACCCACCGAAATTGTTTGAGATGTGGTATTTGAAGTTCGTAATGGATGCTACAGCTTGTGACAGAAAATTGTCCATGCAGGCCCAAGTCTTCGCACAGCTCCGATATAACGGTACCTCCCTATATACGATATTTTGATAATTTTAGCTACATTATTCACCACTTATTTCAAGTTTCTAATTTGAATATGGTAATAACTTATGACAAACAATGCCTATGTAGGTCCACGTCGTATAGACCCCAATATAACGGCTATATTTGGTATTTTTAAAATTTTAACAGAACGTTTTAAAGGTTTTTATTTTTTGAAAATTTTAAAATTGCTTCCAAATGGTGGAGGGTATTCAAAGTTCGGCCCGGCCGAACTTACCGCTTTTAAACTTGTTAAATGTAAAATGCACCAGTTATTATTGCACCTTAAATAAAAAACTAAAATTGTTGTTTAATTTATTTTTGCGGCCGATATTTCTTCCGGCTAATTTAAAATACAAGATTATTATTTCGACAATGTCTATATCCTTAGTCCTTATTTCTTCCTACAACGTATATTACACAACATTTAAGAAAATATTCCCCGCAAATAGATTTCCATTCGTCAATCTCTCCATGAATAAATTGTACTAGTAATTGTTATTTGTAATGTGGTCACACTTTCACTTCAAACTTTATTGCAGCTCGAGTCTTAAAAACTGAATTGTTCGATTTTGCTTCTGACTCCGAAGGCTCCCTTAAGCTCGTCATAGTCCTTGTTTTCAGTTTCAACCCTTCGGTTGGAGACCAAAATCAACAATTATATTTTGTTCGCTCCAATTTGATGTACAAATAGGCGAAAAAGAACTTAATTGAATTAAAAAAGAAAACAAATTTATCGGAAACAAAAAGTCATAGAACGCAACTTGTACTTTTATAACGTTGTAAAAAGATCTTTGCATGAAATCGTTCCCTCGACAACTGCCGGGCTCTTGACCCAGGGTCTCAATTTACTCACCACACGAATATCGTTCCATTGAAGTCCGAATCTGTTACTTCTTAATATAGCTCGGGAATTATTCGAGAGCATTTTTCGGGAAGGTAAAAAGTACAAAATACATGCATGTAGAAAAAATTTAAATGTTTTTACAAAATGCCTTCAAATTATTTTGAACTTGTTAAAAATGATCATGTGGTTTCAGTATAAAAGATGTAAAAAACGTTTTGAAATCATTTTCATTTGATTTCGTACAAGTTATTGCAAAATATCTAATGCGCAGACACACATAATATAATTTAAATTTCTCTTAAATTGTAAGAACTCGTTTTGTACATTATACTCCTACCAAAATTGTTCAATTTTCGTTCACAAAAATTAAAAATTCACATATTTTCAATTTTAGGTTTTTATTTATTTAAACGCACTGCAAATTTTAACCAAACTTTGCCAATAAAAAAATCTTAGTTAAAATGTCTTAAATAACTATAACAATTTAAATTTGTATGGTATTACGACAGACTAATGAGAACTAACCAAGATTGGGAAAATTTAATGTGAAATCGTCTAAAACATATGTACATTAGTGGCAACACGGTCACCAGTACGTTAAAAAGAGGAATTCCATTTTCTTTGTTATTGTGTGTATAAGTGGTAGTAAGAACACTTGTCTGTCTGTGGCAAGAATTTAATGTAATATTCTCCCGCGTACCATAAAAACGCAAAAAAAGAAATTGGACGTAATAAATCCAGAAAAAATGCTGCTAATATAGGAAGAGCTCTTGGACTAGCACTTACAACCGTAAAAACTTTTTGCAGCAGAAACAGCTATAAAATAAATCTATAAACTTATTAGCTTATTGTCCCACCACTCCAATCTCAACAAAATACGATAGCAAGAAAGTCCATATCGGTTTTGATGGAGTCCCTTCTTAATTTAGATACTTGATCAAATCAAAGAATAATAAGTATTTTTTTACTTCTGTTTTATAAAAAATATTGTTTTTATTCGGAACCCAAAAAACTTTGTAGGCTTTGATTAAGTTGTACATTTCTTAATATTAACTGAAATTTTATGCTTTATTTCGTCGCTATTAATACCAGCGGGGTGATTTTATTTTTATATATATTATTTTTGAAGATGTTTATCTCCATTTTTAATTTTATGTGTTCAAAAGTAGGAACTATTAAAATTTAACATTGAAATACGTATAAATAGAATAATTTTTAAGGGTGAAATGTCTTTGCAGAAAACCTTTATACTCAATTTGTTGCTAGAGAGTGATTGAATTTTGGTCATTCTAAATATGTAAAGCTGGAGACATTTTGGTAAGTTTTGAATGTGCCAACAAAAAAATCGCCTAATATTGAATAAATAATACCTTGTATCAAAGAAATCCTTTTTCGAAAAATTCTGATTTTTATGATACTTGAATCGTTAATAAAATGAAATTATAATAGTAATATATTCAACAATCAAACTGAACCTGGACTAAATTTTCAGATGATTGCACAAACATACACATTTGGGTCTGGGCGGCACATGTCATATGCAGGACTTAATGGCAAACCTATTCACATAAATAACTGCTACCCCATTATGACAATACCAATCAACTCCTCGTCAACAGATTGTATAAAGCTGAAAGTTAAGAGAAATAATTCTTATACATGTAATAATATTATGTATCGCCAAAATTGTAGCGATACACCCACATACTAATGCTATTATATTCATATTGATAGATTCGTATATCCATAGAAGGAACGATTCAACAACAAAGTAAAATTAAAATGAAATACCGTCGAAAGCGGTGCAATGTTGTTCAAAGCCATTCTAAGATGGGACAATTAAGCACCCGAAATAATTTTGTAATTAGGAGATTTAAAAGAAATATTAGAAATGAGAAAAATAACACAGTGATATCTAATTAATTTGATTTACTTTCTCTTGTTTAACCAACTTTTGTTATTACAATCTCATCAACTACCACAAAATATCACAAAATTATTCAATTTACAATGTGTTGCTGCAACTATTGTTACTCGCACGTTGTAACTTCTTGCGATACCGTAATAGAAATCTAACGTTGGTAGTGGTTCCAGAGAAGATGAAGCAAACAGAGGTGGTGGACAAGAGGAGCCTGACGGCAAATATACAAAAGAAGAGAAACGGGAAAGCAGAAAATATTCAGATCGTAATGGTCGAAAAAATACATCTAGGTAAGTCTCTTATGCCTGTTTTAATTTGTATTTAGAAGCTAAAATATACTATACTGGGTACACCATTGCAATAAATAAATGCAATAGAAAAATCTATTATTTGCTCTACAAGCATACAATGCATACGATAATTTGGAAAATATTTATTCTGTTGAGCAGATGATTACATAGCTAACGATAACGCTGAAGGGTCCAAAAATTTCCAGATGTAGGACGTACATTATTCTTAGCAGTTGAATGTACAATTTAAAACATATAATAAACAATTAAGCATATCCAGTTTCATGATTAAGTTAAGGTGTCTTATCTTATAAATTAAAAGGAAACTTTGTTTTTCCTTTATATATTGTAAATATAAACCTATATTAAATATAAGAGTAAGAATTTGGGCGCAATGCAATTTCGATCAAGGATAATTGAAAAATTTAAAGAAATTATTATTTATACAAAGAAGTTATTATTATCAATATATTGGTTGTTTATAGTTTCAACCATGTTCAATCCTCGATCAAAGACAATTGGAAATTTTAAAGAAATTAAATTATTATTATTAAATTATGTTGGTTGTTTATAGTTTCAACCATGTTCAATCCTTGGTGTTGTAAAAAACAGCATTGTTGTTGAGCCTATGATCTGTTGTTGGGAGGATATAATTAACTAGTATTTGTTGATTAAATGTTGATGCGTTAAAATGGTGTGTCCCATACGCAGTCGCGAAAATATTCTTATATTTTCTTTTATAACCGTTGGGCAAATTACTATTTACTTAAGTGGATTGGCATCCATGTAGTTATCATAATGATGGATGTTTTCCATGTTGGATTTGTTTTATCCATTCTTTATTTGAATCAATTTCTCAGTATTGCAATATTGTAAATATAAAATATGGTAACATTAATTCAGTAAACTTAACGTTACATATAAAAGGAAGATGGTCTGGCCTTTTGCTTTTGGGACAGTTCACATTTAAATTAAGCTTGTAATAACGAAAAACGATTTATTTTTCCGACAACAAAATTTTTTTTCTATCGGAAAGATGTAATAACCGGCCATAAAGGCTTGCATATACAGGGTCAAATTTTCCATATGTATAAGTTGAATACATCGTGTAAAGTACATATGTACTTTTTCGACACCAGCAACTTCAGCAGTGATAATAGAGCTGACGATTGATAAAACAGGGGTTTATCCACCATACGATGGTCCATTTGTGTTATGTTGAAGCGCCTATTGCAGTTCTTAGGCAGCATTCTGGCTGGTTTGAAAAATCTTTCATTGCGTAGCATTGCACCCTTTTCAGATGTAATTCGAAGTGTTTCATTTGTAGTTCAAGAATTCCATTTGTAATTCGAGTAACTCCAATTGTAATTAGAGAAATCCATTTGTAAATGGAATGATCCATTTAAAATGCTAACAAAAAATACAGAATATTGAGGTGTATAGAAAATTTCTATTTTCCAAACAAACATCCAATAATTGTTATATGTCATAATATGAAGAACACTTCGTATTTCATATGAGTCGCGGAGACTGTTTAATAATAATTCAAGGTTTCAATTATGGGTGCAAATGATGAGGCATAACCCCTGTTAGTTTTTAATTGCTCAAATGTTTTTGTTTTATGAAATAGAGGATAAATAGGCAACTCTCAGAAATTAGTTTACTTCGAATTTTCCAAAATCAGTCTATTATAGAAAAAGTGTTTAGTAGGATTTACCAATTTAATTAGTATTCTAAGCAATTATAAAGATAATATCATCCCAAAACGTCTGAATTGTAAAGAGGAAAGTAGAAGCAGGAACTAAAAGACAACACCTTTCCCAAAATTTCGGAACTAAAGTAGAATTAACTTAAAACCTAACATCTGTGTAAAAGCTTTATATAATTAGATAAACATATAGTTAGGTTTCCTTAACGCATAAAAAAAAAAACTTAAAAAAATAATTTCTAATTTATTTTAGATGATGTATAAGGTATACAAATAAAATACATTTAACATTTTTTATAGGAGCCGATCTACATCACGCGATGTTGAAGATGGCAAACATCGTCGCTATTCGGATCGTGATAGAGGCAAAGAAAGAGATCGTTACCGATCAAAGGATCGCGAAAGAGATCGAAAAAGGTCTTCAAAAGATAGAGACCGTAATCGTCATAGTAGCCGCTCCAAAGATGCAAGAGTTAGAAGTCGTTCACGTGAACGGCGCCGTAGTCGGTCAAGGGACAGAAAAGGTTCTCAATCGAGATCTGAAGGAAAGAGCAGTCGCTCACGTGACTATCGGCGTAGTCGATCAAGGGATCGTCGTCCTAAAGACCAGATGAGCCCTATAAAGGAGCGAGGACGTAGTCGTTCTTACAAGAGATCAAGATCGCGCGAAAGAAGGTAATATTATATCAAACAAATTGAAAAAAGTATTTTTTTTATTGTAATGCAATTTTAGTTATCGACGTCACAGTGGTTCACCACGTCCATTTAGGCGTGGACGCACTCCTTCCAATGGTTTGGGACCAGATCGTTCTCCACAAACAGAACTCAGTCCTGAGGAGCGTGATGCACGCACAATTTTCTGCATGCAACTATCACAGCGTGTTCGTGCACGTGATCTTGAAGAATTTTTTTCAAGCGTTGGCAAAGTACGTGATGTCCGTCTAATAACGTGCAACAAAACAAAGCGGTTTAAAGGAATAGCATATATTGAGTTCAAAGATCCAGAATCTGTGGCTCTTGCTTTAGGTCTATCCGGGCAAAGGCTGTTGGGTGTACCAATCGTAGTTCAGCATACACAAGCTGAAAAAAATCGTATAGCAAATGCAGTACCAACTTTTACACCCAAGAATCATACTGGCCCTATGCGTTTGTACGTGGGATCTTTACACTTCAACATCACTGAAGATATGTTACGAGGAATATTTGAACCATTTGGAAAGATTGATTCTATTCAATTAATAATGGATACAGAAACTGGGCGCTCAAAGGGATACGGATTTATTACGGTAAGCGATACAAATTTGTAGCAAAGTTTTACAATGTCTATCGAAAACTTATCTCCAACAACTCAGTGTTTCCATGAGTTTTCTTCCGATATTGTAAAACATACATATATGTTTATACCATATGCCTATTTAACCAGTTTAATTACAGTACCATAACGCAGAAGATGCAAAAAAAGCCTTGGAACAATTAAATGGCTTTGAACTTGCAGGACGTCCAATGAAAGTTGGCAATGTAACGGAAAGACTTGACATGAACACTTCTTCTCTAGACACTGATGAAATGGATCGGAGTGGCATTGATTTGGGGGCGACTGGAAGACTGCAATTAATGTTTAAATTAGCTGAAGGAGCCGGCCTAGCTGTTCCTCAGGCTGCAGCTAACGCGTTGCTTGCTACAGCCCCGCAACCCGTACCCATCAACACACAAACCCAAAATCCACCTATAGCAACGCAATGTTTTCTACTATCGAATATGTTCGATCCACGCACAGAAACCAATCCCAACTGGGATTCTGAAATACAAGACGATGTTATTGAAGAATGCTCGAAACATGGAGGAGTGTTGCATATATTTGTTGATAAAGTTACGCCAACGGGCAATGTATACGTGAAATGTCCGAGTATAACAACTGCTGTGTTAGCAGTTAATGCATTACATGGACGATGGTTTGCGGGACGTGTAATTGGTGCAACATATGTCCCTCTTCTAAATTACCACTCAATGTTTCCCGATGCTATTACAGCAGTTAATCTTCTAAACACAAATAGAAAATCCAATGATTAGATGGCTGTAAAATAAATATTTTGATCCTTTTTGAGTTAAGCTCTCCTCTGATCATATTTTATGGGGCGTCGGGGTATAAATGGTCTTTTTTATTCCATTAATATACATGCACGCGCATTCCTGTCCTTTAGACTAAGTCTTTTTTCAATATTTGTAAAATTCATTGGAGAGAAAAAATAAATGTTACTTTAGAGCATTAAATCTGAAGGCTTGCATATTGATTCACTTGCCTTTTTGAGTCTTTGTTTCGAATATACACAACTGAGATAAACATTTTATCCGTATTAATGCATTATCGGTAGATGTTCTCGCTTGCCCAATAATTTGTAGTAATAACAATAATTCAATTTTTTACTGCAGAAGTGAGCTGCTTCTTAATTTTTTTAATATTTTTTTCAGGATTGGTGTGTTTTAAAATTTGTATACACGAAATTATTAAAGTAAACAAACAAAAAACATGAATGTTGGTTTGTTAATATAAATAAAATTTTGACGTGGCATCAATTCAATGCAGAGGCGAGCAAAATAGAAAAAGTTAAAGTAGAACTAAGATTAATTTTTTAAGTCGTTTTTTATTACACATAACCTTTTTGAAACGTACTCTTTAACATTGTAACAAATTAGTAAATAATTAAATATTATACGAACAGAAATTTGTATTACCTTTAAATTTGTTAAATACTTTTATCTGATTCAAAGTTTTCGAACGCTCATTTCTGTTTTACTTGTAAATATCGCTCATTTACTCAAGGAGTGTTACATCTCAAAAAAAAAAAATAGTTTGGAGAGAAACGCATTTTAAGTTATCGGTTAAAATCCGACTTCACGAGTTATATTAGAAGAGGTCGCCAGATATCAGTGATAAATTTCTGTGGAAGATCAAACATCGTTAAGAGTGTTAAAGTATTTCATAAACTAAATATAAAGTAAATATACTGTTTATTAATTTCATGGAAAGTAGATGTACACAACACTTGAATTGTAAGTAAGCAAAAACAAATCGAGGTGTTTCTTTATTTAGGTTATTGACCTGCTCAAAGCAAGCATTAAAATTATTTAGGTCAGCTATATGCTGACATATGATAAAACTATTAAATAACAAAAAAAGTATAAAGTGTATATGCAAAAAATATGTTCTTTTGAACATTCTCCCTCCACGTTGAACGGGGAACGTTCAATAAACTGTTTGGTCAATGACGTATAATGATGACACTGATTGCCGGGGTGTAGGTATGGGTAGTGGCGAAAGTTGATGGCTACTTCAATTCCAACGCAAAGAGCTAGATGGCTGATGGTATGATGATAAATAGCTGTTGTTTGCTACTGCCAGACATGTTGGACAGATATAATATCCTCTCAAGTATAGTTGTCACTTAAGCGCTCTTGTTGTTGTATCTGTCTCGGAATACCTTCCGAGCAATGTCGTAATTCGCCTCAGTCAAAGCCTGATCGTTGATCATTTTCCCAAAAATGTTTGCCACATCGAATTGAGGGATTGTAATTTTTGGCAGATTAACTTGTGTTGCCAAGTTCCTGCCTGATCTCTGCTGAGATAGTGTACAATCAAACTGTGTTATATTTCGTAGAATTTTAACGTCTCTTCCATTAAGAGAACATTGTACCCTAGCAACGTTGGGTCAACAAAATTCTCGAACATGTTGAAGTGAATGTACCAATTCAATTCTGTTAAATTGAAGACTGTCATGAAAGTTCCTCACTGATCTGCTATCCCCAGACATGTTGGACAGATTTAATATCCTCTCAAGTATAGTTGACACTTAAGCGCCTTGTTGTAGTATCTGCCCTTTTTACATTTGGCTGGAAAATCAGCGATAACTTAAAAAATATAATAAATTAGATCTCAGCAATACTGAATTAAATATTTTCACCAAATATTTTAGAAGCATGGAAAAGATAGCTTTATGCACAAACCAACCTTAAGCGGATAAGAAACAAAAGACCGAAAAACATTCTTTAAAAGATAAAAAGGTATTTTTGGTTCAAGACAGAGTCTTCTTTAGTAGCTTCATTTGACCCGTCTATATCAATTACGTATTTTAATGAACATGGAAAAGACAAAAGTCAGGCTTGATCCACAATATGATACCCTACGTCACACTGCAGACTTAGAAAAGTTTCTGGTAAAAACCATTTGCTTATTTTGTGCATTTGTTTGGAGTAAATAATGTTAACAATGATCTGTATTAAATGGCCAATATGGCTTTAAATCGTATGAAATATATAAGGAAAATATTTCTTAATCTGAATTGATTTCCGCTAAATTTAAAGCAGATATTTTTATGCTATAGTGACCTCTCGTACCAAATGGCATTGCTTTAAAAGTATATTATGATTTAGAAAAGACTTAGATATAAAATCGGATGAAACATGCATACAGGGTGAGAGAAAAAAACTGCAACAAAGTCAAACGCCATAATTTTTACATTTTTTTAAATATTATTGAATGAAAGCAAAAAATGTCGGAAATAGCAACAAAATTTAGAATAAGTTTAGATTTGTTCGAATTAGTCACCTTTGGCACGAATTGGCCTTCAAACGGTCAATGAAACCGTCACACGCTGCCCAAATCTTACTCTGTGGTATTTTGGCTCATTCCCGGCGAGGCGCTTGCTTGAGGTGATCGACAATTTGGTATTCTTTAGTGCCAACCTTGCTTTCCAAAATACTCCAGACACAATGGTCCAACGGATTGGTATCCGGAGATTTTGGTGGCCATTGTGAGCAAGAAATGAAGCGAGAAACCTCATTTTGTAACCATTCTTGGGTGGTGCGTGCTGAGTGCGATGGTACGGAGTCCTGTTGGAATGTCTAAGGTCTGCGGCCAAAATGTTTTTGTGCCCAATGCTTTAATACACCCTCCATAATATTTGCGCGATAATATTCGGCATTTATTCTGATGCCACAGTCGATTAATACGAGCGGAGAGCGACCACCGGCTGTTATGGCGGCCCACACCATCACCATGGCCGGCGCTTGGGTTGAAACGATCATTTTGTTAGTTTACAAACTACACCTAAGTCTGTTTTTACACGGTAGATTGGTTCCAGAAGAAGCCGTGTAAAAAAGACATTGATCTTATACAAAAATGGGTGATTTGTTCCTAATCTCTAAAACCTATTAAAATTAGTGAAAAACAAGAATTTTTATTTTTTTCTTTACCAAACACGTCTTATTGCATTAACAGTTCACAAAATATTAACACGTTTCAATTGCTCTGACCAGTAAATTTTATTGTATGCACATAGTGCTATTCACATTTGCTTTGACCAGTAAAAATTGTACGCGCTAAAGGGGAATTCACTTAAATCTTTAAGCTAGTGTTCGCAAACTATCGATACTATCGATGGTTTCAGACTTTTTTCTTTCATAAATACTTTTTTGTGATATGAACATACTTCGCAAAAATTAAATTTGACAAAAAATTTAAGTACATAAAATTTCAAATCGTGCTAAATGGAATAAAATCGTGTAAATAAATTAAAAGTATTCAATTTTCAAACCGTGTTATATCAAAACCGTGTACAAAAAGACCGTGTAAAAACAGACTTAGGTGTACTGAACAACGAATGTTTTCTCATCGGATTAAACCAAGTTCGGCAGTTCACCACTTTCGGCCAAGTGAAGCAACTCTTTAGCTCTATTGAGTCTATTTTATTTCTGTTGCGGTGTAAGTTCTTGCACTCTTTCAATGGCTTTACCCCGAGCTCATTTTTCAATATTTGTGAATGGAATATTGCGATATTTTCAGATCACGAGCCATTTTTCGGCCACTACGACGCGGGTTTCGCTCAAGTCGCTTCTTTACTTTTCGAACCATTTCTGCTGATGTTGCTGTTTTCTTCTGTCCACTTCCTTGACGTCGGTCTACGCTGTTGCGTGGACGAGTCACTTAAAGGCGGCGCACCACAGCTGCAAAAATAATATTATTCTCATTAATATTTTTTGGCATTGGAGTAAATATATACGCAGAGCAGAATTCCCGCTATGGTTATGGTGTAAAAGAAAACCAGATGGAAAATTAAAAATAATGTTGCATCCCTTTGTACGTCGAGTGAACAGTGTTGCCGTTTTGGGCGTTTCCGTCCAAATTTGGGCGGAAAAAAGATAAATTTTTTTGAACACTCCAAAATACAGGGTTGTCCATATTCGACAGACCCATCTGGCAACGCCATAACTTTTGACAGAGATGTCACATCGCTTAATGACATACCGCGTTTGAAGCGTCAGTCCAAGCAGATTTTTACCATGAACCAATACACGCCACGCGAGCGCTCTGAAATAGTTGAAATTTACATTTAACAGAAGAAGTCAATTGTGAAAACTCAACGTGCTTTTAAAACATTAAAAAATGTGAGAAGTGCGCCTTCTAAGAACACCATTAGGCGTTTATACGAAAAATTTTCGACTGGTAAGGCTCTTTCTAATCCGAAGAGGCCATATAAAAGTCGACCAAGGCGATCGGCCGAGAATATCGCTGCCGTACGAGCCTGTGTTGAGAGGTCCCCAAGAACATCCCAAAAACGCCCTTCTCAGCAGTTGGGCATGACTCGATCCACTTTACAACGGATTATTCGCATTGATTTGCATTTTTTCCCGTACAAAATTCAATTGACGCAAAGAATGTTGCCTGCGGACAAGACTCGTCGATTGGAATGGGCCCAAAGAGTCATGGGTCTGTCGAATATTGGCAACCCAGCATTTTGACCAGGGACATTTTCCCAATATTTATGCACTCCGTCGTGCTGTTAGTTTTTGTGGTCCATTTTACGGCTAAATATATTCCAATGGTCATCCAAAAAGCCAGAATTCTTCCCTGTGCTTACCTATCTTCTCAGGCGTGTCGAATGGCTTCAATTGTGTGATCAGGATTTTTTTTCTGTTTTTGGTTCATTTAAACGCCTAAATATTTTGCGATCATCTCCAAAAGCAAGAGGCCCTCTGTGTCTCCAAATTTAGACTCATCTATATGATTTGCTTGTCTACGATATTTGGCTATATTCGTCAACGAAATCAGCATAAACAAGTAAGCAAAGGCTATAGTCGTGCGGGGTCGACCATGTGATACCCTACAACACTACAATATGTTAGAAGCCCCCTTATGTCCGAATCCATTTTGGAATATTTCGCTTTTGAGATAATGTCATGGAGCACTGCCCAGATATTACCCTTAGGGGTTTGACCAGGGACATTTGCCCAATATTTACGCACTCAATCGTGCTGTTAGTTGTTGTGGTCCATTTTACAGCTACATATACCAATGGTTATCCAAAATGCTAGAATTCTTCCCTGTTCTTAACTCTCTTTAATTGTGTGAGCAGGAATTTTTTTCTGTTTTTGGTTCATTTGAACCCCTAAATATTTTGCGATCAACTCCAATAGCAAGAGGCCCATCTGTATCACCAAAAAAAGCCAGAAGTTGTAAGAAATGTTGGTTTTTTTACACACAAAAGTAGTGGTCCATTCTACCCGCTATCCTAAACTCGAACTTCATGCGAGATTTCCTTTGGATTCAATTTATTAACTTTAAAACGGCTGCAAAATCAGGAACATTTTTAGTTGTTGGTCCATTTCAATAAAATATTGCGGACATCTAAATATATTGCGGACATCTTTGAAAACAATAGGCCTAGCCATTTTTCGTGAGCATAATTGCAATCTGTATATAATAACACCAACCTGTGTTGTAAAATGAAAAAATATTACAAAATGTACAATTCAATAGTATAAGTTAAATTGAAAAAATCGCATGCGATAAAACATATGAAAAAATAAAAAAAATGTCACAAAATACTGCAAAATCTATATTAACATCATTATAGGCATTTTTTATGCGATTTTTTTTTAGATTTTATACTTTTATGTTAAGAGGGCATTCTGAATTGACAAAATTTGACGAAATCGGTACAGCCAATCTTGAGATATAAGCATTCTAGCTAACATCCCCCTCCCTCTTATATATACATTGTATATATTTCGCTATAAACATCCGATATATTTACTATCGGCATCTACGTAACGGTCAGAGTTGATCTGTTCGTCTAGTTGTGATTTCGCCGGGATTAAAAATATTCGCGGTTTAATGAAAAATTTGACTTTTATTTAACACAAATGTTGTGGCCTATTTCAACCACTAAATATTACCGATGACCATCAAAATTGGAAGGCTTCTGCCCAGCCCTAAGCTCTAGCCCCATGCTAACTTTCGTGTCGATTGGTCTATAATTGCCACCTGTAGAGCAACTGCAAAATCAGGAATTTTTTCAGTTTTTGGTCAATTTCACCCCTAAATATTATGCAATCATCTCCAAAAGAAATAAGGGTTCTATATATATATATATATATATATATATAAACTTGAAGTAAAGCAACAATCAAATTTTTATTTTCTCAAGGTCGCAATTATGGTCCGATCTTCACGAAAAAGGGGGGGGAGGTGGGGCTCGGGTCAGAATAGAACCCTTATTTCTTTTGGAGATGATTGCATAATATTTAGGGGTGAAATTGACCAAAAACTGAAAAAATTCCTGATTTTGCAGTTGCTCTACAGGTGGCAATTATAGACCAATCGACACGAAAGTTAGCATGGGCAGAAGCCTTCCAATTTTGATGGTCATCGGTAATATTTAGTGGTTGAAATAGGCCACAACATTTGTGTTAAATAAAAGTCAAATTTTTCATTAAACCGCGAATATTTTTAATCCCGGCGAAATCACAACTAGACGAACAGATCAACTCTGACCGTTACGTAGATGCCGATAGTAAATATATCGGATGTTTATAGCGAAATATATACAATGTATATATAAGAGGGAGGGGGATGTTAGCTAGAATGCTTATATCTCAAGATTGGCTGTACCGATTTCGTCAAATTTTGTCAATTCAGAATGCCCTCTTAACATAAAAGTATAAAATCTAAAAAAAAATCGCATAAAAAATGCCTATAATGATGTTAATATAGATTTTGCAGTATTTTGTGACATTTTTTTTATTTTTTCATATGTTTTATCGCATGCGATTTTTTCAATTTAACTTATACTATTGAATTGTACATTTTGTAATATTTTTTCATTTTACAACACAGGTTGGTGTTATTATATACAGATTGCAATTATGCTCACGAAAAATGGCTAGGCCTATTGTTTTCAAAGATGTCCGCAATATATTTAGATGTCCGCAATATTTTATTGAAATGGACCAACAACTAAAAATGTTCCTGATTTTGCAGCCGTTTTAAAGTTAATAAATTGAATCCAAAGGAAATCTCGCATGAAGTTCGAGTTTAGGATAGCGGGTAGAATGGACCACTACTTTTGTGTGTAAAAAAACCAACATTTCTTACAACTTCTGGCTTTTTTTGGTGATACAGATGGGCCTCTTGCTATTGGAGTTGATCGCAAAATATTTAGGGGTTCAAATGAACCAAAAACAGAAAAAAATTCCTGCTCACACAATTAAAGAGAGTTAAGAACAGGGAAGAATTCTAGCATTTTGGATAACCATTGGTATATGTAGCTGTAAAATGGACCACAACAACTAACAGCACGATTGAGTGCGTAAATATTGGGCAAATGTCCCTGGTCAAACCCCTAAGGGTAATATCTGGGCAGTGCTCCATGACATTATCTCAAAAGCGAAATATTCCAAAATGGATTCGGACATAAGGGGGCTTCTAACATATTGTAGTGTTGTAGGGTATCACATGGTCGACCCCGCACGACTATAGCCTTTGCTTACTTGTTTATGCTGATTTCGTTGACGAATATAGCCAAATATCGTAGACAAGCAAATCATATAGATGAGTCTAAATTTGGAGACACAGAGGGCCTCTTGCTTTTGGAGATGATCGCAAAATATTTAGGCGTTTAAATGAACCAAAAACAGAAAAAAAATCCTGATCACAGAATTGAAGCCAATCGACACGCCTGAGAAGATAGGTAAGCACAGGGAAGAATTCTGGCTTTTTGGATGACCATTGGAATATATTTAGCCGTAAAATGGACCACAAAAACTAACAGCACGACGGAGTGCATAAATATTGGGAAAATGTCCCTGGTCAAAATGCTGGGTTGCCAATATTCGACAGACCCATGACTCTTTGGGCCCATTCCAATCGACGAGTCTTGTCCGCAGGCAACGTTCTTTGCGTCAATTGAATTTTGTACGGGAAAAAATGCAAATCAATGCGAATAATCCGTTGTAAAGTGGATCGAGTCATGCCCAACTGCTGAGAAGGGCGTTTTTGGGATGTTCTTGGGGACCTCTCAACACAGGCTCGTACGGCAGCGATATTATCGGCCGATCGCCTTGGTCGACTTTTATATGGCCTCTTCGGATTAGAAAGAGCCTTACCAGTCGAAAATTTTTCGTATAAACGCCTAATGGTGTTCTTAGAAGGCGCACTTCTCACATTTTTTAATGTTTTAAAAGCACGTTGAGTTTTCACAATTGACTTCTTCTGTTAAATGTAAATTTCAACTATTTCAGAGCACTCGCGTGGCGTGTATTGGTTCATGGTAAAAATCTGCTTGGACTGACGCTTCAAACGCGGTATGTCATTAAGCGATGTGACATCTCTGTCAAAAGTTATGGCGTTGCCAGATGGGTCTGTCGAATATGGACAACCCTGTATTTTGGAGTGTTCAAAAAAATTTATCTTTTTTCCGCCCAAATTTGGACGGAAGCGCCCAAAACGGCAACACTGTTCACTCGACGTACAAAGGGATGCAACATTATTTTTAATTTTCCATCTGGTTTTCTTTTACACCATAACCATAGCGGGAATTCTGCTCTGCGTATATATTTACTCCAATCCCAAAAAATATTAATGAGAATAATATTATTTTTGCAGCTGTGGTGCGCCGCCTTTAAGTGACTCGTCCACGCAACAGTGAGACCGACGTCAAGGAAGTGGACAGAAGAAAACAGCAACATCAGCAGAAATGGTTCGAAAAGTAAAGAAGCGACTTGAGCGAAACCCGCGTCGTAGTGGCCGAAAAATGGCTCGTGATCTGAAAATATCGCAATATTCCATTCACAAATATTGAAAAATGAGCTCGGGGTAAAGCCATTGAAAGAGTGCAAGAACTTACACCGCAACAGAAATAAAATAGACTCAATAGAGCTAAAGAATTGCTTCACTTGGCCGAAAGTGGTGAACTGCCGAACTTGGTTTAATCCGATGAGAAAACATTCGTTGTTCAGTACACCTAAGTCTGTTTTTACACGGTCTTTTTGTACACGGTTTTGATATAACACGGTGATGAATTCCCCTTTAGCGCGTACAAAAAATTTTTACTGGTCAAAGCAAATGTGAATAGCACCATGTGCATACAATAAAATTTACTGGTCAGAGCAATTGAAACGTGTTAATATTTTGTGAACTGTTAATGCAATAAGACGTGTTTGGTAAAGAAAAAAAAAACTTCTTGTTTTTTACTAATTTTAATAGGTTTTAGAGATTAGGAACAAATCACCCATTTTTGTATAAGATCAATGTCTTTTTTACACGGTTTTTTTTACACGGCTTCTTCTGGAACCAATCTACCGTGTAAAAACAGACTTAGGTGTACATATAAATTATTCAACTTTTTATAGTTTGGGCGGATATGGTCGATTTTGGGCGGTTTTTAGAAAAAAATTGGGCTGAAATAAAAATTTCAAACGGCAACACTGCGTGTGAATCAAAAAACTGAACGAAAGGGGGAAACGACAAGCGTTGCCGTATCAAAGCGAAATAAGTTATTGTTCAGTGGGAAATTTAATACTGTTTTTATCAACGTGGGTTGTCAGCCATTTAGTGAGGCTAGTATCGTCCATGTAGATGTAAACAAAATAATGGTGATTCGTTGATGTGTATGTTACCCAAAATGTCGTGGAAAGTTGGGAAAAATGGTGGAAAATTCACTGCCCTATAAAAGGCACTATGCAGAAAAGAGCGATAGTAGTTGTGCAGTAACCGCCATAGAGTGCCGGCTTGATCTTCAAAGTTTCGAGATAAATTAATATTATTTGTGCAGCCAATTTGTGGTTGTGGCCGTTGTGTGGTGTTCTTTTATATTTATTTTGTGGAAATAAGGACCAAAGTAAGTTATATCAACCATGGGAAAAAGTAATGAGCATAACTTACAAAGTCTTTGTTGCCATAGAATTTCCGAACGAAATCACCAACATAACTGGCCTCAAACATCCCAAAAGTGGGGCCAGTGCATTTGTCTTTTGCCCACTATTTCAACTGTGGTTGTGGCAGCAACTTACTGAGAAGCCTCATCCTTTGTACCAAGAAACGAATAGAAATTCCGGCAGTGTCAGCCTTTCCCACAAATTGACAGTCACTGCAATACCCGTGTGTTAGATTGCGGAAATGTATGTGTAGGTAATGCCAGTTGCCGCACATTCAAGGTGGAGCACAAGGTAACCCTTAGAATTTAATTTTCTTATAAAAAAGGACCAAAAGGGAGTGACGGCAGTTTCCTGCAAAAAAAAAAAAAAAAAAATCATCCATTAGGATGTAATTGTCAACCAAAAATTGATATTTAACCTTAAAACAAAATTCTATGTATTTCGTGAATAACACACTATTAAGATAGTGGAGGGTACAAATCCTATTAAGGATAAACATTACCCCATTTCACCAGCTATGCAACAAATTGTTTATGTAGAATTGGATAAGATGATAGGGCTGAAGTAATAGAAGAGAGTGAAAGTGCGTGGAACAATAGGAAGACCATCGCTAGGAAACCCGGGAAGAACCGATTTTGTTTGGATGCGCGTAAGTTAAATGCCGTAACCATTAAAGACGCGTATCCATTACAAAATATCGACGGGATACTAAGTAGAATTGATCAGACGGTATTCATAAGTAGCGTAGAATTAAAACATGCCTTTTGGCAGATAGAGCTGGATGAAGAGTCGTGGCCATGTACGGCTTTTACGGTCCCTGGTCGTCCGCTCTATCAATTCAGAATGATACCATTCGGCTTGTGTAATACCGCACAACGTCTATGCCGACTTATGGATAAGGTCATACCGGCCCGACTTAAATCAAACGTATTCATATATTTGGATGACTTACTGGTTATATCAGAAGATTTCGAAACTCATTTGAAATTATTAGAACATGTAGCGGAGTGTCTCAGAAGTGCGAATCTGACGATAGGCCTCACCAAGAGTATGTTCTGTTTTAAAGAGTTGAGGTACTTAGGTTTTATAATCGGAGGCGGGGTCCTAAAAACCGATCCTGACAAAATACGATTAGAAATCTAAAAATTTCAAGAAGCCCTAGGGATATGAGAAGCTTTTTAGGAACAGCGGGCTGGTACCGCCCAGCTAAAGTACTTAAGCTTCCAGATTTTTCAAAATAATTTTTTATACAATGTGATTCTTCAGATTGTGGAATAGGAGCAGTATTGTTCCAGAAAGGCGATAATGATGAAGAGTTCCCCATAGCCTCTTACTCCCAGAATCTAAACAGTTGCCAAAAGAACTACAGCGTGACTGAAAAGGAGTGTCTGACGGCCGTTATGGCTGTGAAAATGTTCAGACCTTATGTAGAACTAATGAAATTCACAGTCATAACGGAAATGGCTAATGCATGTAAAAGACTTGAGTGGGAGACCCGCCAGATGGAGTTTAATGTTGCAGGGGTATAACTTCGAAAATGAGCATCAAAAAGGCAAGGATAATGTGGTGGCAGACACGCTATCCCGCTTTGAAGTCGTCGAGGAATATGATGTGGTCGATGACTTATTTCGAAACAACAGAATTTGAAAGTCCAGAATATAAAAATTTAATAGAAGAAATACAGAAAAACCAACATAAATTGCCTGATATAAAAATAGAAAACGGTTACATTTTCAAACGCACAAAACCAGAAACTGAATTGAATTCTGTTGAACTGCCTTGCAAGCTTTGAATCCCAGACAGATTAACCCATTTGTTAATCGAAAAGGCACATGATGAGCTAACCTCAGCTCATGGCGGCATAGCTAAGATGCTGCACCGCCTGCAAATATTTTATTATTGGCCGAAAATGGTACAACAGGTGAAGCAGTATATATATTCAACTGCCAAACATGTAAAGAAACGAAACCTGTCAATAGAAATACACGACCGACAATAGGTTGTGAAGTCGTAACAGAACGCCCATTTCAAAAATCTTATATGGATTTTTTAGGTAAATATCCACGATCAAAATCAGGCAATAGTTATGTATTTATAGTTGATGATCACTTTTCCAAATTTGTGTTTCTAAAAGCTATGAAAGAAGCTACCACATCTAATTTCGTTCAATTTTTAGTACAAGAGATATGTAGAAAATTCGGAGTTCCTGAGACCATTCATACAGATTGTGGGGCCCAATTAACAGCTAAAGGATTCAAGGAAATGGTTGAAATGTTTAAGATCAACCATATGCAGACAGCACCCTACTCGCCGCAGTCGAACGCCTCAGAAAGAGTAAACCAGTTCGTACTAGCCGCAATTCGAGCTTATTAAGATGATGACCATAGGTATTGGGATGTTTACCTAACAGAAATTGAATGTGCATTAAGATCATCAATCCATACAGCCACTGGTGTAACACCCTTTTTCGCTATTTTCGGATACGAAATGTACACCAACGGCAGTGATTATAAACTGGCAAAGAAATTAAAGGACCTAAAGGGAGTGACGGCAGTTTCCTGCAAAAAAAAAAAAAAAAATCATCCATTAGGATGTAATTGTCAACCAAAAATTGATATTTAACCTTAAAACAAAATTATATGTATTTCGTGTTGAAATTGTGTTGTCTTTGTGAATGTCCTAGAGTTTAAGTGAACTCGACTGTGAGGATTTTTAACGCCAGGATTTAATTACAATTTGTTTCACGATTGCAGCAAAAGTTTTCTACAGAAGTTTGGGTTAAATAATTGGTCACCTTGGCCCAGGAATAACCATCTTAAGTGAGCTCTCTTAGGGTAGTCCGTTGGTAGTGAAATTGCGTGAATAAAAAGCATTAGATTCTCTAGTAAACTTTTTAGAAAGAGTTCTTGAAAAAAATCATAGTACTTTTCTCGCTAAACTGGTGTTAGATATTCTATAAAAAGAGAGAAATATTAGACATAACAGAAACAAAATTAGTTTTAAGAAACCTTTTGTATCAATAAATGTTTTTAATGTTTAATTAGTAACATAAATATGTGTGATCTGAAATGGACAATATGCATCCGAATAAAAGCAGATGCTGGTTGTGCTTCCATTTACGAGATCTTTTTTCGGAACAGAAGGGAAATTGCCGTAAAGACGAAAGTCGAAATAAATATTAAAAGCACGTGTTTTATTAGTGTTCGTCTTTAACTGTTTTGATAACCGAAATGACATTCTTTAACAAAATCTATATATAATTATTGGACACTCACCTCACAACCCAACGAAAGGAGAGCCCCTATTTGTTGGAAATTGTTTTGTTTAAAAGTGTTTTTGTTTTGTGACTAGTTTTTTATAACCTATAACCTAACTAGATAACATTTTTGTAACATTTAATTTTGTTTCTTTTTATTATTTTTTTACAACCCAACGAAAGGAGAGCCCCTATTTGTTGGAAATTGTTTTGTTTAAAAGTGTTTTTGTTTTGTGACTAGTTTTTTATAACCTATAACCTAACTAGATAACATTTTTGTAACATTTAATTTTGTTTCTTTTTATTATTTTTTATTAAAACAATTTTATTGGTGATTGTAAAAGAATTCAAAGTTTTCATTCAATTATTGGTGGAATCAAAAGGCATTTACCAATGAGTGAAGAAAACTTATTTGAAACTAAACGTAGAAGCCAAAGGAACAGCACTTTGTCATTTGATGTTAGCAGATTATCGGGGCAAACATTGCCGAAATATAGGAAAAGGGATAAGATTGGCAATATGGTAAATCCACCTCCTCTTATTAATCCATCCATACTTGATATGTCTCAGACTATCAGCGCAACTTCTAACCCCAATTGTAATACTTCTAATATGCTCCCTAATGGTAAGTCAACTAGTTCTTTTCATAGTTCCACGCCAGCTAATGACGATATAAACAATGTTTTGAGGGAAATGGTAGATGCCAATGCACAAATAAATTTAAGGCAACTAGTGCAGGAATGTATATGTATGGAGATGAAAAAAGTATATGAAGCCATTTGTAAATTAGGAGACATAGTAAAGAATTTGAATATTGGCACGAACGCTCCGAGCAATCAACCTAACAACGCCTCTTTTTCGTTTCCAAATCCACCTCCCATAATCGAACCCAACAGACATCCAGAGATGCAATCGGAATAATAGGATGTTTGCAACTCCCGGTCCCAATTTGGATAGACCAAGTAGAAATTCAAGCTGAAATTTGATGGCAATCCGTCTAGCATGTCTGTTGGATACTTTGTGTTTCGACTCGAATACCTAAAGAACCAATACAAGGTGTCATGGGAAGAAATCTTTGCCGAGTTCCAGTCTACTCGCTGGAGTGGTACTGGTTACAAATCGACGGTACAGTACGACTCGATCGAATTTTGAAGTCATGAGCTAGATAGTCTACAGAAAATTAAAACCAGGAGAAGATATCGATAATTTTTCCAATCCATAAATACTTTGAGATCCAGGTTAATTCAACCCATATAGTGGGGAGAGCTTATTCAGATCGTAGAAAGAAATTTAAAGGGAGAAACACTAGTTCTATGGAACAGCTCAGGATGGAGTGTATCTTAGCAGAAAAGACATGCTCAAAACGTGAAACAAGATTCATGCCTTCTCCTCCGAACCGACACGTTAGGGTAAACGAGCTAAATACCGATATTAATGATTATAAAATAAATTACTATGAGGATGATCAAGTTCAGGATGTGTCATAACTAAAAACCGATCCAATCTGTTGAAACTGTAGAAAAACAGGTCATAGGTTTATGGACCGTTTATCCTCACAAAGATCGTTGTTTTGCTACCGATGTGGTCAACCCAATACCGTGGCACCAAAGTGCCCTAGGTGCAAGTCGGAAAACTTATGCCCGGATCTTGAGCAATCATTGTATTTAGGAATAGATTCCTGGAAAGCGTGCCACTTAGCTCCAGACGTATTAGAAGTAAATGAACTCGACATTGCAAAGATTCAAGCCAAATATGCAGATGATAATGAATTTAAAAAGAAAAACATAATCTTAGTGCCGATCAAGAGGAAAAACTTAATCGAGTGATGAAGAAATTTCCTGCTTTTGAAAAAATGGGTCTTGGTCACACCACACTTGAATAACACACTATTAAGATAGTGGAGGGTACAAATCCTATTAAGGATAAACATTACCCCATTTCACCAGCTATGCAACAAATTGTTTATGAAGAATTGGATAAGATGATAGGGCTGAAGTAATAGAAGAGAGTGAAAGTGCGTGGAACAATAGGACGACCATCGCTAGGAAACCCGGAAAGAACCCATTTTTTGGTTTTTTTTGTTTGGATGCGCGTAAGTTAAATGCCGTAACCATTAAAGACGCGTATCCATTACAAAATATCGACGGGATACTAAGTAGAATTGATCAGACGGTATTCATAAGTAGCGTAGAATTAAAACATGCCTTTTGGCAGATAGAGCTGGATGAAGAGTCGTGGCCATATACGGTTTTTACGGTCCCTGGTCGTCCGCTCTATCAATTCAGAATGATACCATTCGGCTTGTGTAATACCGCACAACGTCTATGCCGACTTATGGATAAGGTCATACCGGCCCGACTTAAATCAAACGTATTCATATATTTGGATGACTTACTGGTTATATCAGAAGATTTCGAAACTCATTTGAAATTATTAGAACATGTAGCGGAGTGTCTCAGAAGTGCGAATCTGACGATAGGCCTCACCAAGAGTATGTTCTGTTTTAAAGAGTTGAGGTACTTAGGTTTTATAATCGGAGGCGGGGTCCTAAAAACCGATCCTGACAAAATACGGTTAGAAATCTAAAAATTTCAAGAAGCCCTAGGGATATGAGAAGCTTTTTAGGAACAGCGGGCTGGTACCGCCGTTTTATCAAAAGTTTTGCAAGTATTTCCGCCCCCTTGACAGACACTTTGAAAAAAAGTATTACATTTACCATAGCTCAAAAGTCATAGAGGAGCAGTATTAAAGAAGCTACCACATCTAATTTCGTTCAATTTTTAGTACAAGAGATATGTAGAAAATTCGGAGTTCCTGAGACCATTCATACAGATTGTGGGGCCCAATTAACAGCTAAAGGATTCAAGGAAATGGTTGAAATGTTTAAGATCAACCATATGCAGACAGCACCCTACTCGCCGCAGTCGAACGCCTCAGAAAGAGTAAACCAGTTCGTACTAGCCGCAATTCGAGCTTATTAAGATGATGACCATAGGTATTGGGATGTTTACCTAACAGAAATTGAATGTGCATTAAGATCATCAATCCATACAGCCACTGGTGTAACACCCTTTTTCGCTCTTTTCGGATACGAAATGTACACCAACGGCAGTGATTATAAACTGGCAAAGAAATTAAAGGACCTAAAGGGAGTGACGGCAGTTTCCTGCAAAAAAAAAAAAAAATCATCCATTAGGATGTAATTGTCAACCAAAAATTGATATTTAACCTTAAAACAAAATTATATGTATTTCGTGTTGAAATTGTGTTGTCTTTGTGAATGTCCTAGAGTTTAAGTGAACTCGACTGTGAGGATTTTTAACGCCAGGATTTAATTACAATTTGTTTCACGATTGCAGCAAAAGTTTTCTACAGAAGTTTGGGTTAAATAATTGGTCACCTTGGCCCAGGAATAACCATCTTAAGTGAGCTCTCTTAGGGTAGTCCGTTGGTAGTGAAATTGCGTGAATAAAAAGCATTAGATTCTCTAGTAAACTTTTTAGAAAGAGTTCTTGAAAAAAATCATAGTACTTTTCTCGCTAAACTGGTGTTAGATATTCTATAAAAAGAGAGAAATATTAGACATAACAGAAACAAAATTAGTTTTAAGAAACCTTTTGTATCAATAAATGTTTTTAATGTTTAATTAGTAACATAAATATGTGTGATCTGAAATGGACAATATGCATCCGAATAAAAGCAGATGCTGGTTGTGCTTCCATTTACGAGATCTTTTTTCGGAACAGAAGGGAAATTGCCGTAAAGACGAAAGTCGAAATAAATATTAAAAGCACGTGTTTTATTAGTGTTCGTCTTTAACTGTTTTGATAACCGAAATGACATTCTTTAACAAAATCTATATATAATTATTGGACACTCACCTCACAACCCAACGAAAGGAGAGCCCCTATTTGTTGGAAATTGTTTTGTTTAAAAGTGTTTTTGTTTTGTGACTAGTTTTTTATAACCTATAACCTAACTAGATAACATTTTTGTAACATTTAATTTTGTTTCTTTTTATTATTTTTTTACAACCCAACGAAAGGAGAGCCCCTATTTGTTGGAAATTGTTTTGTTTAAAAGTGTTTTTGTTTTGTGACTAGTTTTTTATAACCTATAACCTAACTAGATAACATTTTTGTAACATTTAATTTTGTTTCTTTTTATTATTTTTTATTAAAACAATTTTATTGGTGATTGTAAAAGAATTCAAAGTTTTCATTCAATTATTGGTGGAATCAAAAGGCATTTTCCAATGAGTGAAGAAAACTTATTTGAAACTAAACGTAGAAGCCAAAGGAACAGCACTTTGTCATTTGATGTTAGCAGATTATCGGGGCAAACATTGCCGAAATATAGGAAAAGGGATAAGATTGGCAATATGGTAAATCCACCTCCTCTTATTAATCCATCCATACTTGATATGTCTCAGACTATCAGCGCAACTTCTAACCCCAATTGTAATACTTCTAATATGCTCCCTAATGGTAAGTCAACTAGTTCTTTTCATAGTTCCACGCCAGCTAATGACGATATAAACAATGTTTTGAGGGAAATGGTAGATGCCAATGCACAAATAAATTTAAGGCAACTAGTGCAGGAATGTATATGTATGGAGATGAAAAAAGTATATGAAGCCATTTGTAAATTAGGAGACATAGTAAAGAATTTGAATATTGGCACGAACGCTCCGAGCAATCAACCTAACAACGCCTCTTTTTCGTTTCCAAATCCACCTCCCATAATCGAACCCAACAGACATCCAGAGATGCAATCGGAATAATAGGATGTTTGCAACTCCCGGTCCCAATTTGGATAGACCAAGTAGAAATTCAAGCTGAAATTTGATGGCAATCCGTCTAGCATGTCTGTTGGATACTTTGTGTTTCGACTCGAATACCTAAAGAACCAATACAAGGTGTCATGGGAAGAAATCTTTGCCGAGTTCCAGTCTACTCGCTGGAGTGGTACTGGTTACAAATCGACGGTACAGTACGACTCGATCGAATTTTGAAGTCATGAGCTAGATAGTCTACAGAAAATTAAAACCAGGAGAAGATATCGATAATTTTTCCAATCCATAAATACTTTGAGATCCAGGTTAATTCAACCCATATAGTGGGGAGAGCTTATTCAGATCGTAGAAAGAAATTTAAAGGGAGAAACACTAGTTCTATGGAACAGCTCAGGATGGAGTGTATCTTAGCAGAAAAGACATGCTCAAAACGTGAAACAAGATTCATGCCTTCTCCTCCGAACCGATACGTTAGGGTAAACGAGCTAAATACCGATATTAATGATTATAAAATAAATTACTATGAGGATGATCAAGTTCAGGATGTGTCATAACTAAAAACCGATCCAATCTGTTGAAACTGTAGAAAAACAGGTCATAGGTTTATGGACCGTTTATCCTCACAAAGATCGTTGTTTTGCTACCGATGTGGTCAACCCAATACCGTGGCACCAAAGTGCCCTAGGTGCAAGTCGGAAAACTTATGCCCGGATCTTGAGCAATCATTGTATTTAGGAATAGATTCCTGGAAAGCGTGCCACTTAGCTCCAGACGTATTAGAAGTAAATGAACTCGACATTGCAAAGATTCAAGCCAAATATGCAGATGATAATGAATTTAAAAAGAAAAACATAATCTTAGTGCCGATCAAGAGGAAAAACTTAATCGAGTGATGAAGAAATTTCCTGCTTTTGAAAAAATGGGTCTTGGTCACACCACACTTGAATAACACACTATTAAGATAGTGGAGGGTACAAATCCTATTAAGGATAAACATTACCCCATTTCACCAGCTATGCAACAAATTGTTTATGAAGAATTGGATAAGATGATAGGGCTGAAGTAATAGAAGAGAGTGAAAGTGCGTGGAACAATAGGACGACCATCGCTAGGAAACCCGGGAAGAACCCATTTTTTGGTTTTTTTTTGTTTGGATGCGCGTAAGTTAAATGCCGTAACCATTAAAGACGCGTATCCATTACAAAATATCGACGGGATACTAAGTAGAATTGATCAGACGGTATTCATAAGTAGCGTAGAATTAAAACATGCCTTTTGGCAGATAGAGCTGGATGAAGAGTCGTGGCCATATACGGTTTTTACGGTCCCTGGTCGTCCGCTCTATCAATTCAGAATGATACCATTCGGCTTGTGTAATACCGCACAACGTCTATGCCGACTTATGGATAAGGTCATACCGGCCCGACTTAAATCAAACGTATTCATATATTTGGATGACTTACTGGTTATATCAGAAGATTTCGAAACTCATTTGAAATTATTAGAACATGTAGCGGAGTGTCTCAGAAGTGCGAATCTGACGATAGGCCTCACCAAGAGTATGTTCTGTTTTAAAGAGTTGAGGTACTTAGGTTTTATAATCGGAGGCGGGGTCCTAAAAACCGATCCTGACAAAATACGGTTAGAAATCTAAAAATTTCAAGAAGCCCTAGGGATATGAGAAGCTTTTTAGGAACAGCGGGCTGGTACCGCCGTTTTATCAAAAGTTTTGCAAGTATTTCCGCCCCCTTGACAGACACTTTGAAAAAAAGTATTACATTTACCATAGCTCAAAAGTCATAGAGGCTTTCGAGAACTGAAAATAGCGCTGACCACAGCTCCAGTACTTAAGCTTCCAGATTTTTCAAAATAATTTTTTATACAATGTGATTCTTCAGATTGTGGAATAGGAGCAGTATTGTTCCAGAAAGGCGATAATGATGAAGAGTTCCCCATAGCCTCTTACTCCCAGAAGCTAAACAGTTGCCAAAAGAACTACAGCGTGACTGAAAAGGAGTGTCTGACGGCCGTTATGGCTGTGAAAATGTTCAGACCTTATGTAGAACTAATGAAATTCACAGTCATAACGGAAATGGCTAATGGATGTAAAAGACTTGAGTGGGAGACCCGCCAGATGGAGTTTAATGTTGCAGGGGTATAACTTCGAAAATGAGCATCAAAAAGGCAAGGATAATGTGGTGGCAGACACGCTATCCCGCCTTGAAGTCGTCGAGGAATATGATGTGGTCGATGACTTATTTCGAAACAACAGAATTTGAAAGTCCAGAATATAAAAATTTAATAGAAGAAATACAGAAAAACCAACATAAATTGCCTGATTAAAAAATAGAAAACGGTTACATTTTCAAACGCACAAAACCAGAAACTGAATTGAATTCTGTTGAACTGCCTTGCAAGCTTTGAATCCCAGACAGATTAACCCATTTGTTAATCGAAAAGGCACATGATGAGCTAACCTCAGCTCATGGCGGCATAGCTAAGATGCTGCACCGCCTGCAAATATTTTATTATTGGCCGAAAATGGTACAACAGGTGAAGCAGTATATATATTCAACTGCCAAACATGTAAAGAAACGAAACCTGTCAATAGAAATACACGACCGACAATAGGTTGTGAAGTCGTAACAGAACGCTCATTTCAAAAATCTTATATGGATTTTTTAGGTAAATATCCACGATCAAAATCAGGCAATAGTTATGTATTTATAGTTGATGATCACTTTTCCAAATTTGTGTTTCTAAAAGCCATGAAAGAAGCTACCACATCTAATTTCGTTCAATTTTTAGTACAAGAGATATGTAGAAAATTCGGAGTTCCTGAGACCATTCATACAGATTATGGGGCCCAATTAACAGCTAAAGGATTCAAGGAAATGGTTGAAATGTTTAAGATCAACCATATGCAGACAGCACCCTACTCGCCGCAGTCGAACGCCTCAGAAAGAGTAAACCAGTTCGTACTAGCCGCAATTCGAGCTTATTAAGATGATGACCATAGGTATTGGGATGTTTACCTAACACAAATTGAATGTGCATTAAGATCATCAATCCATACAGCCACTGGTGTAACACTCTTTTTCGCTCTTTTCGGATACGAAATGTACACCAACGGCAGTGATTATAAACTGGCAAAGAAATTAAAGGACCTAAAGGGAGTGACGGCAGTTTCCTGCAAAAAAAAAAATCATCCATTAGGATGTAATTGTCAACCAAAAATTGATATTTAACCTTAAAACAAAATTCTATGTATTTCGTGTTGAAATTGTGTTGTCTTTGTGAATGTCCTAGAGTTTAAGTGAACTCGACTGTGAGGATTTTTAACGCCAGGATTTAATTACAATTTGTTTCACGATTGCAGCAAAAGTTTTCTACAGAAGTTTGGGTTAAATAATTGGTCACCTTGGCCCAGGAATAACCATCTTAAGTGAGCTCTCTTACGGTAGTCCGTTGGTAGTGAAATTGCGTGAATAAAAAGCATTAGATTCTCTAGTAAACTTTTTAGGAAGAGTTCTTGAAAAAAATCATAGTACTTTTCTCGCTAAACTGGTGTTAGATATTCCATAAAAAGAGAGAAATATTAGAAATAACAGAAACAAAATTAGTTTTAAGAAACCTTTTGTATCAATAAATGTTTTTAATGTTTAATTAGTAACATAAATATGTGTGATCTGTTTGTAAGAGGGGGTTTCCCTCGAGGTAAGGTAATGAGATGAGTTTGTGTGTCTTGTGGGGTTTCCAGTAAATTTAAATATGGAAATTTGGAGACCATGGAAGGGCGGGCGAATGTGGGAATAAAGACATCAATATTCCCGTTTGTTTGTAAATTTTTTTGTGTCGCTTCTTGTTCTCATTTAAAAAAAAATAAATAAATATGTTCGCCCTGAGGTGTTAGACATGGATGGTTGAGAACCGAGACCCTGAGCCCGCGAGCAAGTCGGATGGTTCATTCTAGCCCCGCCACATTGGGGAATGTAACAGATGGCGCCCAATCTTAAAAAATATGTTCATTTAGAACCGAGATTAGGATTTTTTGTGCAATACCAACTACGTGCAATAAAATAGACCATAGGGAAAGTCATAGTAATAAGTATTATAGCAAAATTCTTAGGCCTGACTGATATTGAGCCATGTTTTTTTGTTGAAAACATGTTAATGTGCAATATTAGTTTTAAGGTAAAATAGGATATTTAGTATAATACTTCCATAATATTAAAAACGGTCAATGCAATAACTTGTATAACAATGTATGTATTGTGAGTGACCTGTCTTTTGTGTTTTGGTTCCATTAAGTAGCTGCAACAGTTAGAATTTTCTACGAAGGGAAATGGACAATATGCATCCGAAAAAAAGCAGATGCTGGTTGTGCTTCCATTTACGAGATCTTTTTTCGGAACAGAAGGGAAATTGCCGTAAAGACGAAAGTCGAAAGAAATATTAAACGCACGTGTTTTATTAGTGTTCGTCTTTAACTGTTTTGATAACCGAAATGACATTCTTTAACAAAATCTATATATAATTATTAGACACACACCTCACAACCCAACGAAAGGAGAACCCCTATTTGTTGGAAATTGTTTTGTTTAAAAGTGTTTTTGTTTTGTGACTAGTTTTTTATAACCTATAACCTAACTAGATAACATTTTTGTAACATTTAATTTTGTTTCTTTTTATTATTTTTTATTAAAACAATTTTATTGGTGATTGTAAAAGAATTCAAAGTTTTCATTCAATTATTGGTGGAATCAAAAGGCATTTACCAATGAGTGAAGAAAACTTATTTGAAACTAAACGTAGAAGCCAAAGGAACAGCACTTTGTCATTTGATGTTAGCAGATTATCGGGGCAAACATTGCCGAAATATAGGAAAAGGGATAAGATTGGCAATATGGTAAATCCACCTCCTCTTATTAATCCATCCATACTTGATATGTCTCAGACTATCAGCGCAACTTCTAACCCCAATTGTAATACTTCTAATATGCTCCCTAATGGTAAGTCAACTAGTTCTTTTCATAGTTCCACGCCAGCTAATGACAATATAAACAATGTTTTGAGGGAAATGGTAGATGCCAATGCACAAATAAATTTAAGGCAACTAGTGCAGGAATGTATATGTATGGAGATGAAAAAAGTATATGAAGCCATTGGTAAATTAGGAGACATAGTAAAGAATTTGAATATTGGCACGAACGCTTCGAGCAATCAACCTAACAACGCCTCTTTTTCGTTTCCAAATCCACCTCCCATAATCGAACCCAACAGACATCCAGAGATGCAATCGGAATAATAGGATGTTTGCAACTCCCGGTCCCAATTTGGATAGACCAAGTAGAAATTCAAGCTGAAATTTGATGGCAATCCGTCTAGCATGTCTGTTGGATACTTTGTGTTTCCACTCGAATACCTAAAGAACCAATACAAGGTGTCATGGGAAGAAATCTTTGCCGAGTTCCAGTCTACTCGCTGGAGTGGTACTGGTTACAAATAGACGTTACAGTACGACTCGATCGAATTTTGAAGTCATGAGCTAGATAGTCTACAGAAAATTAAAACCAGGAGAAGATATCGATAATTTTTCCAATCCATAAATACTTTGAGATCCAGGTCAACCCATGTAGTGGGGAGAGCTTATTCAGATCGTAGAAAGAAATTTAAAGGGATAAATTTTTAAGATGATTTACACAATGAACATTAGTTCTATGGAACAGCTCAGGATGGAGTGTATCTTAGCAGAAAAGACATGCACAAAACGTGAAACAAGATTCATGCCTCCTCCTCCGACCCGACACGTTAGGGTAAACGAGCTAAATACCGATATTAATGATTATAACATAAATTACTATGAGGATGATCAAGTTCAGGATGTGTCATAACTAAAAACCGATCCAATCGGTTGAAACTGTGAAAAACAGGTCATAGGTTTATGGACCGTTTATCCTCACAAAGATCGTTGTTTTGCTACCGATGTGGTCAACCCAATACCGTGGCACCAAAGTGCCCTAGGTGCAAGTCGGAAAACTTATGCCCTGATCTTGAGCAATCATTGTATTTAGGAATAGATTCCAGGAAAGCGTTCCACTTAGCTCCAGACGTATTAGAAGTAAATGAACTCGACATTGCAAAGATTCAAGCCAAATATGCAGATGATAATGAATTTAAAAAGAAAAACATAATCTTAGTGCCGACCAAGAGGAAAAACTTAATCGAGTGATGAAGAAATTTCCTGCGTTTGAAAAAATGGGTCTTGGTCACACCACACTTGAATAACACACTATTAAGATAGTGGAGGGTACAAATCCTATTAAGGATAAACATTACCCCATTTCACCAGCTATGCAACAAATTGTTTATGAAGAATTGGATAAGATGATAGGGCTGAAGTAATAGAAGAGAGTGAAAGTGCGTGGAACAATAGGACGACCATCGCTAGGAAACCCGGGAAGAACCCATTTTCTGGTTTTTTTTTTGTTTGGATGCGCGTAAGTTAAATGCCGTAACCATTAAAGACGCGTATCCATTACAAAATATCGACGGGATACTAAGTAGAATTGATCAGACGGTATTCATAAGTAGCGTAGAATTAAAACATGCCTTTTGGCAGATAGAGCTGGATGAAGAGTCGTGGCCATATACGGTTTTTACGGTCCCTGGTCGTCCGCTCTATCAATTCAGAATGATACCATTCGGCTTGTGTAATACCGCACAACGTCTATGCCGACTTATGGATAAGGTCATACCGGCCCGACTTAAATCAAACGTATTCATATATTTGGATGACTTACTGGTTATATCAGAAGATTTCGAAACTCATTTGAAATTATTAGAACATGTAGCGGAGTGTCTCAGAAGTGCGAATCTGACGATAGGCCTCACCAAGAGTTTAAAGAGTTGAGGTACTTAGGTTTTATAATCGGAGGGGGGTCCTAAAAACCGATCCTGACAAAATACGATTAGAAATCTAAAAATTTCAAGAAGCCCTAGGGATATGAGAAGCTTTTTAGGAACAGCGGGCTGGTACCGCCGTTTTATCAAAAGTTTTGCAAGTATTTCCGCCCCCTTGACAGACACTTTGAAAAAAAGTTTTACATTTACCATAGCTCAAAAGTCATAGAGGCTTTCGAGAACTGAAAACAGCGCTGACCACAGCTCCAGTACTTAAGCTTCCAGATTTTTCAAAATAATTTTTTATACAATGTGATTCTTCAGATTGTGGAATAGGAGCAGTATTGTTCCAGAAAGGCGATAATGATGAAGAGTTCCCCATAGCCTCTTACTCCCAGAAGCTAAACAGTTGCCAAAAGAACTACAGCGTGACTGAAAAGGAGTGTCTGACGGCCGTTATGGCTGTGAAAATGTTCAGACCTTATGTAGAACTAATGAAATTCACAGTCATAACGGAAATGGCTAATGGATGTAAAAGACTTGAGTGGGAGACCCGCCAGATGGAGTTTAATGTTGCAGGGGTATAACTTCGAAAATGAGCATCAAAAAGGCAAGGATAATGTGGTGGCAGACACGCTATCCCGCCTTGAAGTCGTCGAGGAATATGATGTGGTCGATGACTTATTTCGAAACAACAGAATTTGAAAGTCCAGAATATAAAAATTTAATAAAAGAAATACAGAAAAACCAACATAAATTGCCTGATTAAAAAATAGAAAACGGTTACATTTTCAATGGTTGAAATGTTTAAGATCAACCATATGCAGACAGCACCCTACTCGCCGCAGTCGAACGCCTCAGAAAGAGTAAACCAGTTCGTACTAGCCGCAATTCGAGCTTATTAAGATGATGACCATAGGTATTGGGATGTTTACCTAACACAAATTGAATGTGCATTAAGATCATCAATCCATACAGCCACTGGTGTAACACCCTTTTTCGCTCTTTTCGGATACGAAATGTACACCAACGGCAGTGATTATAAACTGGCAAAGAAATTAAAGGACCTAAAGGGAGTGACGGCAGTTTCCTGCAAAAAAAAAAAAATCATCCATTAGGATGTAATTGTCAACCAAAAATTGATATTTAACCTTAAAACAAAATTCTATGTATTTCGTGTTGAAATTGTGTTGTCTTTGTGAATGTCCTAGAGTTTAAGTGAACTCGACTGTGAGGATTTTTAACGCCAGGATTTAATTACAATTTGTTTCACGATTGCAGCAAAAGTTTTGTACAGAAGTTAAAAGGTTAAATAATTGGTCACCTTGGCCCAGGAATAACCATCTTAAGTGAGCTCTCTTACTGTAGTCCGTTGGTAGTGAAATTGCGTGAATAAAAAGCATTAGATTCTCTAGTAAACTTTTTAGGAAGAGCTCTTGAAAAAAATCATAGTACTTTTCTCGCTAAACTGGTGTTAGATATTCCATAAAAAGAGAGAAATATTAGACATAACAGAAACAAAATTAGTTTTAAGAAACCTTTTGTATCAATAAATGTTTTTAATGTTTAATTAGTAACATAAATATGTGTGATCTGTTTGTAAGAGGGGGTTTCCCTCGAGGTAAGGTAATGAGATGAGTTTGTGTGTCTTGTGGGGTTTCCAGTAAATTTAAATATGGAAATTTGGAGACCATGGAAGGGCGGGCGAATGTGGGAATAAAGACATCAATATTCCCGTTTGCTTGTAAATTTTTTTGTGTCGCTTCTTGTTCTCATTTAAAAAAAAATAAATAAATATGTTCGCCCTGAGGTGTTAGACATGGATGGTTGAGAACCGAGACCCTGAGCCCGCGAGCAAGTCGGATGGTTCATTCTAGCCCCGCCACATTGGGGAATGTAACAGATGGCGCCCAATCTTAAAAAATATGTTCATTTAGAACCGAGATTAGGATTTTTTGTGCAATACCAACTACGTGCAATAAAATAGACCATAGGGAAAGTCATAGTAATAAGTATTATAGCAATATTCTTAGGCCTGACTGATATTGAGCCATGTTTTTCTGTTGAAAACATGTTAATGTGCAATATTAGTTTTAAGGTAAAATAGGATATTTAGTATAATACTTCCGGTCAATGCAATAACTTGTATAACAATGTATGTATTGTGAGTGACCTGTCTTTTGTGTTTTGGTTCCATTAAGTAGCTGCAACAGTTAGAATTTTCTACGAAGGGAAATGGACAATATGCATCCGAAAAAAAGCAGATGCTGGTTGTGCTTCCATTTACGAGATCTTTTTTCGGAACAGAAGGGAAATTGCCGTAAAGACGAAAGTCGAAAGAAATATTAAAAGCACGTGTTTTATTAGTGTTCGTCTTTAACTGTTTTGATAACCGAAATGACATTCTTTAACAAAATCTATATATAATTATTAGACACACACCTCACAACCCAACGAAAGGAGAACCCCTATTTGTTGGAAATTGTTTTGTTTAAAAGTGTTTTTGTTTTGTGACTAGTTTTTTATAACCTATAACCTAACTAGATAACATTTTTGTAACATTTAATTTTGTTTCTTTTTATTATTTTTTATTAAAACAATTTTATTGGTGATTGTAAAAGAATTCAAAGTTTTCATTCAATTATTGGTGGAATCAAAAGGCATTTACCAATGAGTGAAGAAAACTTATTTGAAACTAAACGTAGAAGCCAAAGGAACAGCACTTTGTCATTTGATGTTAGCAGATTATCGGGGCAAACATTGCCGAAATATAGGAAAAGGGATAAGATTGGCAATATGGTAAATCCACCTCCTCTTATTAATCCATCCATACTTGATATGTCTCAGACTATCAGCGCAACTTCTAACCCCAATTGTAATACTTCTAATATGCTCCCTAATGGTAAGTCAACTAGTTCTTTTCATAGTTCTACGCCAGCTAATGACAATATAAACAATGTTTTGAGGGAAATGGTAGATGCCAATGCACAAATAAATTTAAGGCAACTAGTGCAGGAATGTATATGTATGGAGATGAAAAAAGTATATGAAGCCATTGGTAAATTAGGAGACATAGTAAAGAATTTGAATATTGGCACGAACGCTCCGAGCAATCAACCTAACAACGCCTCTTTTTCGTTTCCAAATCCACCTCCCATAATCGAACCCAACAGACATCCAGAGATGCAATCGAAATAATAGGATGTTTGCAACTCCCGGTCCCAATTTGGATAGACCAAGTAGAAATTAAAGCTGAAATTTGATGGCAATCCGTCTAGCATGTCTGTTGGATACTTTGTGTTTCGACTCGAATACCTAAAGAACCAATACAAGGTGTCATGGGAAGAAATCTTTGCCGAGTTCCAGTCTACTCGCTGGAGTGGTACTGGTTACAAATCGACGGTACAGTACGACTCGATCGAATTTTGAAGTCATGAGCTAGATAGTCTACAGAAAATTAAAACCAGGAGAAGGTATCGATAATTTTTCCAATCCATAAATACTTTGAGATCCAGGTCAACCCATGTAGTGGGGAGAGCTTATTCAGATCGTAGAAAGAAATTTAAAGGGAGAAATTTTTAAGATGATTTACACAATGAACATTAGTTCTATGGAACAGCTCAGGATGGAGTGTATCTTAGCAGAAAAGACATGCACAAAACGTGAAACAAGATTCATGCCTCCTCCTCCGACCCGACACGTTAGGGTAAACGAGCTAAATACCGATATTAATGATTATAACATAAATTACTATGAGGATGATCAAGTTCAGGATGTGTCATAACTAAAAACCGATCCAATCGGTTGAAACTGTGAAAAACAGGTCATAGGTTTATGGACCGTTTATCCTCACAAAGATCGTTGTTTTGCTACCGATGTGGTCAACCCAATACCGTGGCACCAAAGTGCCCTAGGTGCAAGTCGGAAAACTTATGCCCGGATCTTGAGCAATCATTGTATTTAGGAATAGATTCCTGGAAAGCGTTCCACTTAGCTCCAGATGTATTAGAAGTAAATGAACTCGACATTGCAAAGATTCAAGCCAAATATGCAGATGATAATGAATTTAAAAAGAAAAACATAATCTTAGTGCCGATCAAGAGGAAAAACTTAATCGAGTGATGAAGAAATTTCCTGCGTTTGAAAAAATGGGTCTTGGTCACACCACACTTGAATAACACACTATTAAGATAGTGGAGGGTACAAATCCTATTAAGGATAAACATTACCCCATTTCACCAGCTATGCAACAAATTGTTTATGAAGAATTGGATAAGATGATAGGGCTGAAGTAATAGAAGAGAGTGAAAGTGCGTGGAACAATAGGACGACCATCGCTAGGAAACCCGGGAAAAACCCATTTTTTGTTTTTTTTTTTTGTTTGGATGCGCGTAAGTTAAATGCCGTAACCATTAAAGACGCGTATCCATTACAAAATATCAACGGGATACTAAGTAGAATTGATCAGACGGTATTCATAAGTAGCGTAGAATTAAAACATGCCTTTTGGCAGATAGAGCTGGATGAAGAGTCGTGGCCATATACGGTTTTTACGGTCCCTGGTCGTCCGCTCTATCAATTCAGAATGATACCATTCGGCTTGTGTAATACCGCACAACGTCTATGCCGACTTATGGATAAGGTCATACCGGCCCGACTTAAATCAAACGTATTCATATATTTGGATGACTTACTGGTTATATCAGAAGATTTCGAAACTCATTTGAAATTATTAGAACATGTAGCGGAGTGTCTCAGAAGTGCGAATCTGACGATAGGCCTCACCAAGAGTATGTTCTGTTTTAAAGAGTTGAGGTACTTAGGTTTTATAATCGGAGGCGGGGTCCTAAATACCGATCCTGACAAAATACGGTTAGAAATCTAAAAATTTCAAGAAGCCCTAGGGATATGAGAAGCTTTTTAGGAACAGCGGGCTGGTACCGCCGTTTTATCAAAAGTTTTGCAAGTATTTCCGCCCCCTTGACAGACGCTTTGAAAAAAAGTATTACATTTACCATAGCTCAAAAGTCATAGAGGCTTTCGAGAACTGAAAATAGCGCTGACCACAGCTCCACTACTTAAGCTTCCAGATTTTTCAAAATAATTTTTTATACAATGTGATTCTTCAGATTGTGGAATAGGAGCAGTATTGTTCCAGAAAGGCGATAATGATGAAGAGTTCCCCATAGCCTCTTACTCCCAGAAGCTAAACAGTTGCCAAAAGAACTACAGCGTGACTGAAAAGGAGTGTCTGACGGCCGTTATGGCTGTGAAAATGTTCAGACCTTATGTAGAACTAATGAAATTCACAGTCATAACGGAAATGGCTAATGGATGTAAAAGACTTGAGTGGGAGACCCGCCAGATGGAGTTTAATGTTGCAGGGGTATAACTTCGAAAATGAGCATCAAAAAGGCAAGGATAATGTGGTGGCAGACACGCTATCCCGCCTTGAAGTCGTCGAGGAATATGATGTGGTCGATGACTTATTTCGAAACAACAGAATTTGAAAGTCCAGAATATAAAAATTTAATAGAAGAAATACAGAAAAACCAACATAAATTGCCTGATTAAAAAATAGAAAACGGTTACATTTTCAAACGCACAAAACCAGAAACTGAATTGAATTCTGTTGAACTGCCTTGCAAGCTTTGAATCCCAGACAGATTAACCCATTTGTTAATCGAAAAGGCACATGATGAGCTAACCTCAGCTCATGGCGGCATAGCTAAGATGCTGCACCGCCTGCAAATATTTTATTATTGGCCGAAAATGGTATAACAGGTGAAGCAGTATATATATTCAACTGCCAAACATGTAAAGAAACGAAACCTGTCAATAGAAATACACGACCGACAATAGGTTGTGAAGTCGTAACAGAACGCCCATTTCAAAAATCTTATATGGATTTTTTAGGTAAATATCCACGATCAAAATCAGGCAATAGTTATGTATTTATAGTTGATGATCACTTTTCCAAATTTGTGTTTCTAAAAGCCATGAAAGAAGCTACCACATCTAATTTCGTTCAATTTTTAGTACAAGAGATATGTAGAAAATTCGGAGTTCCCGAGACCATTCATACAGATTATGGGGCCCAATTAACAGCTAAAGGATTCAAGGAAATGGTTGAAATGTCTAAGATCAACCATATGCAGACAGCACCCTACTCGCCGCAGTCGAACGCCTCAGAAAGAGTAAACCAGTTCGTACTAGCCGCAATTCGAGCTTATTAAGATGATGACCATAGGTATTGGGATGTTTACCTAACACAAATTGAATGTGCATTAAGATCATCAATCCATACAGCCACTGGTGTAACACCCTTTTTCGCTCTTTTCGGATACGAAATGTACACCAATTTAAAGTCACTATATGACCACTCAATAAATGACTTAGGTCGGAAGGAAAGGTTGGAGGTCATTAGGGAAAGAATAGCAAAAAACCTGCACCATGCATATGAGAGGAGTGCCAAACGCGGCGCGAGCAGTACAATTTTTACCTGGACAGGAGGTTTTTAGACGGAACCATATTTTAAGTGATGTTGGAAAGAACATCATCTCAAAATTTTGCAGGAAATATCTAAAATGTAGGATAGTTAAACCCGTGGGAAACAATATGTTTGAAGTTAAGGATATGCAAGGTAAGTCATTAGGGACTTGTCACGTAAAAGATTTAAGAAGGTAAGGCCATCCGCTGAGGAGCTATCTTACTATGGCAAAATTGGAAAATGTTAGGTAGTTGTGAATTCTAATTAGGCTACAGCTTTTGAGCCATGTAGCTGGACCAAAACCACATAACCATATGGGGGCCCTATACCTGGTCGGAACTATGTCATCATGCCCTACGAAGTTAGACCAAAGTTGCAGTTGCAAAAGTCTGATTCAAACTACGTAAAAGTCCCAATGTTGTACCACGGCGGTATCACCGTAATGATAACTAATATTGAGCTAAAATGAAAATAAAAAGGGCATTAGGAAAGGAACAGACTGCAAATTACACAGCACTGTCAGGACATATTGATTTAAAGCAACTTGGGCACCAATCTGGACACCAAGTATAAAGATTGCAGAAGCCGGGAATATTTACCTAAATAGAGAAACAAAAACATTAATTAGATATATCAATCAAATGAATTGAAGTACTTATCCTGTTGTCACATTTGCCCAATATAATGAATTGTTGTGGGTAAAACAACCATACGGCAGCAAATCCAGTCCAATGGCAAAAAATAAGGAAAACTTTTGTGTGTTTCCGTGGACAGACATGGTGGATGTTCATGACTGCAATAAATAAATGTTTCTACATGCACTTAAAAACCATTAAAGGCATTTATACTTACCCAACCAATAATTGGCCAAAAGTCGCTGCAGGAAAATAAACATGAAAATATTACAAGAAAACAATGAATCAATAAATATTTTTGGCATAACGTTAAATAGGGTTTGATCAATCGAAAGTAACGTAGGGATGAAAACAATTCTGCTTCTCCTCCACCCATTCATGAAGAGATGCTCGCGTTTATTACTATGGATAGGGTTCGCTCCTGGCGGCGCACCAGAGCTGAAAAAATAATATTATTATAATCATTATAATAGCATTAAATATTTCTTGGGATTGGAGTAAATACATACCCAGAGCAGAATTCCCGCTATGGTTATGGTGTAAAAGAAAACCTGATGGAAAATTAAAAATAATCACCCTTATTATGGTTGGCGTTGTCGTAGGCGTTCAAGTGTCGTAGACGTAGTCGTAGGCCGTGCTAAAAAAATTGGTATTATGTACAATTTTCGACTACGTCTTTTTTGTAATAGATGTAAAAAAGCAGGGTGCTCTGGAATAATAAACATTTTTAGAATTCACGAGCTACCTGATTAAAAGAAATAAAAGCGTCAGTTGAAATAGTTAAAGTAAAACGGTTATTTGGTTAATTAAATATTGAAATATGTTAAGTGCTGGCAATTTTTTATCCGAGGATGAAGATGAGTATATATTTAAAATGATTTAAACGTGAGGCGAAAAATATTGCGGCAGGAGTCTCACATATTTTCCATGACTGATTCTCAGTAAGTAAAAAGTAAAATGGGGAAGAAGCTAAAATAAATATTTTTCTCTAGATTTGTTAGTTACTTCCGGCTAAGTAAGTATGCATTTAAATATGTTTTGGTTCAAATCACTCCAGACCTTCGTAACCGGGTTAAAACTACAATTGTCCCAAACACACTAAAACTAGCAGCAACAATTCGAATACTGGCTGAAGGAAGTTATCAAAAGGGTGCTGTTAATGATTTCAATGTCAGTTTATCACGGTCGTCTGTCAGCAATGTCAATGCGAGTGCATAGAAGTATTGCATGATAAGCTGTGTCCAAATTGGATCTCTTTTCCCACCACAGAAGAAGAAAAATATGAAATTAAGAAACATTTTTTGAAAAATACTGGATTTCCTGGAGCGATTGGATGTATTGATGGAACGCACATAAAAATTGTTGCGCCAAAAATGGAAGAGAGATTCAAATACTTGAACCGGAAAGGCTTCTACAGTCTTAACGTAACGTTGGTATGTTGCATAACTTATAAATAATGCAAATAGCTTTACTCTCTTTATTATTGTGGGTGTGTGATCACAAATTAAGAATTAGATATATATCATCACATCTCATTGGTTTGGAATTCAAGTGAATTGAAACAGCACAAGTAAGAAAAGTTTGAAAATGTCGAAAGAAATACATGGATATTAGGTACGTACTGTATATTAAATAAAATTAGTGATGACTTGACATTCAAAAACAAGAAATATAGTTGAACGGGATGTTGAAGAACAGATTTCGTTGTGTATTAGGAGCGAGGCAATTGCATTATTTCGTTGTATATTAGGAGCGAGACAATTGCATTACACCCCTGATATGTGTGGAATAGTAACAGCAATTTGTGCAGAATTACACAATATTTGCATACATTTCAAAATTGAAATGCCGATAGTTAACGCAACGTCGTGTGAACGCATTAGACATAAGAACATCAATAATGCTATCTTTAAATATTTAATTAATTTTATTATTAAAATTATAAAATTAATTTTTAAAATTAAAATATAAAAGCTATGCTTCATGTTATTAACATGAGTGGTTTCACTGAAATCCACTCCTTATTTCTTCTAATTGCAGACGCCTCCTTTTAGTTTCATCTTTCCTACATCACAATAACTCCTTTTTGAAATCCGACTTATTTTTATATTCTTCTTTAAGAAGTTTTAATTTTTCTTCCTTTAACTTATAACTAATTTTTCTTTGTTTTAACAACTCTTCATTCAGTTTGAAGTTTTTGCGTTGTTACCTCTCAATATCATTTAATGATCGTTTAACATCACTGTATAATTCTGCTTGCACCTTCAGCTGCTCTTCAAGAAGTTCATATTTGAGGTCAGTTTTTGAATAAGTCGTTGGAAGCCCTTCCTTAAGTTCATTTTGATGCGGTTTATTTGTGTACAGACATCCTGGATATCAACAACCTGCTTCTGTTGCGTATTTCGGTGTAGTCTGTTTACGCTTGGAGGAGTCAGTGTGCAGGGATTGTGGTTTTCTTTGTCTTCACTAATTTCAAACCGTTCAAACAGTTCCTCCTCAATCTCTAGTTCACCAAGTGTTGGACGCTGTTGAATTCCAATTGCTTGGTTCCCTGCATTTACAATTGTCTCTGATTGTAACAAGCGCGATGCTGCTTCCTCCGTGTCGCTTAAAATGAACTGCTTGAAGGGCCCTCCACCATTCGGCCTTGTTATTAACTAGCTTCTTCCTCAATTTCCTTTCATCCAGGCCTTGCCTGTTGTGGGAATAAAGACATCAATATTCCCGTTTGCTTGTAAATTTTTTTGTGTCGCTTCTTGTTCTCATTTAAAAAAAAATAAATAAATATGTTCGCCCTGAGGTGTTAGACATGGATGGTTGAGAACCGAGACCCTGAGCCCGCGAGCAAGTCGGATGGTTCATTCTAGCTCCGCCACATTGGGGAATGTAACAGATGGCGCCCAATCTTAAAAAATAGGATCATTTAGAACCGAGATTAGGATTTTTTGTGCAATACCAACTACGTGCAATAAAATAGACCATAGGGAAAGTCATAGTAATAAGTATTATAGCAATATTCTTAGGCCTGACTGATATTGAGCCATGTTTTTCTGTTGAAAACATGTTAATGTGCAATATTAGTTTTAAGGTAAAATAGGATATTTAGTATAATACTTCCGGTCAATGCAATAACTTGTATAACAATGTATGTATTGTGAGTGACCTGTCTTTTGTGTTTTGGTTCCATTAAGTAGCTGCAACAGTTAGAATTTTCTACGAAGGGAAATGGACAATATGCATCCGAAAAAAAGCAGATGCCGTAAAGACGAAAGTCGAAAGAAATATTAAAAGCACGTGTTTTATTAGTGTTCGTCTTTAACTGTTTTGATAACCGAAATGACATTCTTTAACAAAATCTATATATAATTATTAGACACACACCTCACAACCCAACGAAAGGAGAACCCCTATTTGTTGGAAATTGTTTTGTTTAAAAGTGTTTTTGTTTTGTGACTAGTTTTTTATAACCTATAACCTAACTAGATAACATTTTTGTAACATTTAATTTTGTTTCTTTTTATTATTTTTTATTAAAACAATTTTATTGGTGATTGTAAAAGAATTCAAAGTTTTCATTCAATTATTGGTGGAATCAAAAGGCATTTACCAATGAGTGAAGAAAACTTATTTGAAACTAAACGTAGAAGCCAAAGGAACAGCACTTTGTCATTTGATGTTAGCAGATTATCGGGGCAAACATTGCCGAAATATAGGAAAAGGGATAAGATTGGCAATATGGTAAATCCACCTCCTCTTATTAATCCATCCATACTTGATATGTCTCAGACTATCAGCGCAACTTCTAACCCCAATTGTAATACTTCTAATATGCTCCCTAATGGTAAGTCAACTAGTTCTTTTCATAGTTCCACGCCAGCTAATGACAATATAAACAATGTTTTGAGGGAAATGGTAGATGCCAATGCACAAATAAATTTAGGGCAACTAGTGCAGGAATGTATATGTATGGAGATGAAAAAAGTATATGAAGCCATTGGTAAATTAGGAAACATAGTAAAGAATTTGAATATTGGCACGAACGCTCCGAGCAATCAACCTAACAACGCCTCTTTTTCGTTTCCAAATCCACCTCCCATAATCGAACCCAACAGACATCCAGAGATGCAATCGGAATAATAGGATGTTTGCAACTCCCGGTCCCAATTTGGATAGACCAAGTAGAAATTAAAGCTGAAATTTGATGGCAATCCGTCTAGCATGTCTGTTGGATACTTTGTGTTTCGACTCGAATACCTAAAGAACCAATACAAGGTGTCATGGGAAGAAATCTTTGCCGAGTTCCAGTCTACTCGCTGGTCGATCGAATTTTGATCGATCGAATTTTGAAGTCATGAGCTAGATAGTCTACAGAAAATTAAAACCAGGAGAAGGAATCGATAATTTTTCCAATCCATAAATACTTTGAGATCCAGGTCAACCCATGTAGTGGGGAGAGCTTATTCAGATCGTAGAAAGAAATTTAAAGGGAGAAATTTTTAAGATGATTTACACAATGAACATTAGTTCTATGGAACAGCTCAGGATGGAGTGTATCTTAGCAGAAAAGACATGCACAAAACGTGAAACAAGATTCATGCCTCCTCCTCCGACCCGACACGTTAGGGTAAACGAGCTAAATACCGATATTAATGATTATAACATAAATTACTATGAGGATGATCAAGTTCAGGATGTGTCATAACTAAAAACCGATCCAATCGGTTGAAACTGTGAAAAACAGGTCATAGGTTTATGGACCGTTTATCCTCACAAAGATCGTTGTTTTGCTACCGATGTGGTCAACCCAATACCGTGGCACCAAAGTGCCCTAGGTGCAAGTCGGAAAACTTATGCCCGGATCTTGAGCAATCATTGTATTTAGGAATAGATTCCTGGAAAGCGTTCCACTTAGCTCCAGACGTATTAGAAGTAAATGAACTCGACATTGCAAAGATTCAAGCCAAATATGCAGATGATAATGAATTTAAAAAGAAAAACATAATCTTAGTGCCGATCAAGAGGAAAAACTTAATCGAGTGATGAAGAAATTTCCTGCGTTTGAAAAAATGGGTCTTGGTCACACCACACTTGAATAACACACTATTAAGATAGTGGAGGGTACAAATCCTATTAAGGATAAACATTACCCCATTTCACCAGCTATGCAACAAATTGTTTATGAAGAATTGGATAAGATGATAGGGCTGAAGTAATAGAAGAGAGTGAAAGTGCGTGGAACAATAGGACGACCATCGCTAGGAAACCCGGGAAAAACCCATTTTTTGGTTTTTTTTTTGTTTGGATGCGCGTAAGTTAAATGCCGTAACCATTAAAGACGCGTATCCATTACAAAATATCAACGGGATACTAAGTAGAATTGATCAGACGGTATTCATAAGTAGCGTAGAATTAAAACATGCCTTTTGGCAGATAGAGCTGGATGAAGAGTCGTGGCCATATACGGTTTTTACGGTCCCTGGTCGTCCGCTCTATCAATTCAGAATGATACCATTCGGCTTGTGTAATACCGCACAACGTCTATGCCGACTTATGGATAAGGTCATACCGGCCCGACTTAAATCAAACGTATTCATATATTTGGATGACTTACTGGTTATATCAGAAGATTTCGAAACTCATTTGAAATTATTAGAACATGTAGCGGAGTGTCTCAGAAGTGCGAATCTGACGATAGGCCTCACCAAGAGTATGTTCTGTTTTAAAGAGTTGAGGTACTTAGGTTTTATAATCGGAGGCGGGGTCCTAAAAACCGATCCTGACAAAATACGGTTAGAAATCTAAAAATTTCAAGAAGCCCTAGGGATATGAGAAGCTTTTTAGGAACAGCGGGCTGGTACCGCCGTTTTATCAAAAGTTTTGCAAGTATTTCCGCCCCCTTGACAGACGCTTTGAAAAAAAGTATTACATTTACCATAGCTCAAAAGTCATAGAGGCTTTCGAGAACTGAAAATAGCGCTGACCACAGCTCCACTACTTAAGCTTCAAGATTTTTCAAAATAATTTTTTATACAATGTGATTCTTCAGATTGTGGAATAGGAGCAGTATTGTTCCAGAAAGGCGATAATGATGAAGAGTTCCCCATAGCCTCTTACTCCCAGAAGCTAAACAGTTGCCAAAAGAACTACAGCGTGACTGAAAAGGAGTGTCTGACGGCCGTTATGGCTGTGAAAATGTTCAGACCTTATGTAGAACTAATGAAATTCACAGTCATAACGGAAATGGCTAATGGATGTAAAAGACTTGAGTGGGAGACCCGCCAGATGGAGTTTAATGTTGCAGGGGTATAACTTCGAAAATGAGCATCAAAAAGGCAAGGATAATGTGGTGGCAGACACGCTATCCCGCCTTGAAGTCGTCGAGGAATATGATGTGGTCGATGACTTATTTCGAAACAACAGAATTTGAAAGTCCAGAATATAAAAATTTAATAGAAGAAATACAGAAAAACCAACATAAATTGCCTGATTAAAAAATAGAAAACGGTTACATTTTCAAACGCACAAAACCAGAAACTGAATTGAATTCTGTTGAACTGCCTTGCAAGCTTTGAATCCCAGACAGATTAACCCATTTGTTAATCGAAAAGGCACATGATGAGCTAACCTCAGCTCATGGCGGCATAGCTAAGATGCTGCACCGCCTGCAAATATTTTATTATTGGCCGAAAATGGTACAACAGGTGAAGCAGTATATATATTCAACTGCCAAACATGTAAAGAAACGAAACCTGTCAATAGAAATACACGACCGACAATAGGTTGTGAAGTCGTAACAGAACGCCCATTTCAAAAATCTTATATGGATTTTTTAGGTAAATATCCACGATCAAAATCAGGCAATAGTTATGTATTTATAGTTGATGATCACTTTTCCAAATTTGTGTTTCTAAAAGCCATGAAAGAAGCTACCACATCTAATTTCGTTCAATTTTTAGTACAAGAGATATGTAGAAAATTCGGAGTTCCCGAGACCATTCATACAGATTATGGGGCCCAATTAACAGCTAAAGGATTCAAGGAAATGGTTGAAATGTCTAAGATCAACCATATGCAGACAGCACCCTACTCGCCGCAGTCGAACGCCTCAGAAAGAGTAAACCAGTTCGTACTAGCCGCAATTCGAGCTTATTAAGATGATGACCATAGGTATTGGGATGTTTACCTAACACAAATTGAATGTGCATTAAGATCATCAATCCATACAGCCACTGGTGTAACACCCTTTTTCGCTCTTTTCGGATACGAAATGTACACCAATTTAAAGTCACTATATGACCACTCAATAAATGACTTAGGTCGGAAGGAAAGGTTGGAGGTCATTAGGGAAAGAATAGCAAAAAACCTGCACCATGCATATGAGAGGAGTGCCAAACGCGGCGCGAGCAGTACAATTTTACCTGGACAGGAGGTTTTTAGACGGAACCATATTTTAAGTGATGTTGGAAAGAACATCATCTCAAAATTTTGCAGGAAATATCTAAAATGTAGGATAGTTAAACCCGTGGGAAACAATATGTTTGAAGTTAAGGATATGCAAGGTAAGTCATTAGGGACTTGTCACGTAAAAGATTTAAGAAGGTAAGGCCATCCGCTGAGGAGCTATCTTACTATGGCAAAATTGGAAAATGTTAGGTAGTTGTGAATTCTAATTAGGCTACAGCTTTTGAGCCATGTAGCTGGACCAAAACCACATAACCATATGGGGGCCCTATACCTGGTCGGAACTATGTCATCATGCCCTACGAAGTTAGACCAAAGTTGCAGTTGCAAAAGTCTGATTCAAACTACGTAAAAGTCCCAATGTTGTACCACGGCGGTATCACCGTAATGATAACTAATATTGAGCTAAAATGAAAATAAAAAGGGCATTAGGAAAGGAACAGACTGCAAATTACACAGCACTGTCAGGACATATTGATTTAAAGCAACTTGGGCACCAATCTGGACACCAAGTATAAAGATTGCAGAAGCCGGGAATATTTACCTAAATAGAGAAACAAAAACATTAATTAGATATATCAATCAAATGAATTGAAGTACTTATCCTGTTGTCACATTTGCCCAATATAATGAATTGTTGTGGGTAAAACAACCATACGGCAGCAAATCCAGTCCAATGGCAAAAAATAAGGAAAACTTTTGTGTGTTTCCGTGGACAGACATGGTGGATGTTCATGACTGCAATAAATAAATGTTTCTACATGCACTTAAAAACCATTAAAGGCATTTATACTTACCCAACCAATAATTGGCCAAAAGTCGCTGCAGGAAAATAAACATGAAAATATTACAAGAAAACAATGAATCAATAAATATTTTTGGCATAACGTTAAATAGGGTTTGATCAATCGAAAGTAACGTAGGGATGAAAACAATTCTGCTTCTCCTCCACCCATTCATGAAGAGATGCTCGCGTTTATTACTATGGATAGGGTTCGCTCCTGGCGGCGCACCAGAGCTGAAAAAATAATATTATTATAATCATTATAATAGCATTAAATATTTCTTGGGATTGGAGTAAATACATACCCAGAGCAGAATTCCCGCTATGGTTATGGTGTAAAAGAAAACCTGATGGAAAATTAAAAATAATCACCCTTATTATGGTTGGCGTTGTCGTAGGCGTTCAAGTGTCGTAGACGTAGTCGTAGGCCGTGCTAAAAAAATTGGTATTATGTACAATTTTCGACTACGTCTTTTTTGTAATAGATGTAAAAAAGCAGGGTGCTCTGGAATAATAAACATTTTTAGAATTCACGAGCTACCTGATTAAAAGAAATAAAAGCGTCAGTTGAAATAGTTAAAGTAAAACGGTTATTTGGTTAATTAAATATTGAAATATGTTAAGTGCTGGCAATTTTTTATCCGAGGATGAAGATGAGTATATATTTAAAATGATTTAAACGTGAGGCGAAAAATATTGCGGCAGGAGTCTCACATATTTTCCATGACTGATTCTCAGTAAGTAAAAAGTAAAATGGGGAAGAAGCTAAAATAAATATTTTTCTCTAGATTTGTTAGTTACTTCCGGCTAAGTAAGTATGCATTTAAATATGTTTTGGTTCAAATCACTCCAGACCTTCGTAACCGGGTTAAATCTACAATTGTCCCAAACACACTAAAACTAGCAGCAACAATTCGAATACTGGCTGAAGGAAGTTATCAAAAGGGTGCTGTTAATGATTTCAATGTCAGTTTATCACGGTCGTCTGTCAGCAATGTCAATGCGAGTGCATAGAAGTATTGCATGATAAGCTGTGTCCAAATTGGATCTCTTTTCCCACCACAGAAGAAGAAAAATATGAAATTAAGAAACATTTTTTGAAAAATACTGGATTTCCTGGAGCGATTGGATGTATTGATGGAACGCACATAAAAATTGTTGCGCCAAAAATGGAAGAGAGATTCAAATACTTGAACCGGAAAGGCTTCTACAGTCTTAACGTAACGTTGGTATGTTGCATAACTTATAAATAATGCAAATAGCTTTACTCTCTTTATTATTGTGGGTGTGTGATCACAAATTAAGAATTAGATATATATCATCACATCTCATTGGTTTGGAATTCAAGTGAATTGAAACAGCACAAGTAAGAAAAGTTTGAAAATGTCGAAAGAAATACATGGATATTAGGTACGTACTGTATATTAAATAAAATTAGTGATGACTTGACATTCAAAAACAAGAAATATAGTTGAACGGGATGTTGAAGAACAGATTTCGTTGTGTATTAGGAGCGAGGCAATTGCATTATTTCGTTGTATATTAGGAGCGAGACAATTGCATTACACCCCTGATATGTGTGGAATAGTAACAGCAATTTGTGCAGAATTACACAATATTTGCATACATTTCAAAATTGAAATGCCGATAGTTAACGCAACGTCGTGTGAACGCATTAGACATAAGAACATCAATAATGCTATCTTTAAATATTTAATTAATTTTATTATTAAAATTATAAAATTAATTTTTAAAATTAAAATATAAAAGCTATGCTTCATGTTATTAACATGAGTGGTTTCACTGAAATCCACTCCTTATTTCTTCTAATTGCAGACGCCTCCTTTTAGTTTCATCTTTCCTACATCACAATAACTCCTTTTTGAAATCCGACTTATTTTTATATTCTTCTTTAAGAAGTTTTAATTTTTCTTCCTTTAACTTATAACTAATTTTTCTTTGTTTTAACAACTCTTCATTCAGTTTGAAGTTTTTGCGTTGTTACCTCTCAATATCATTTAATGATCGTTTAACATCACTGTATAATTCTGCTTGCACCTTCAGCTGCTCTTCAAGAAGTTCATATTTGAGGTCAGTTTTTGAATAAGTCGTTGGAAGCCCTTCCTTAAGTTCATTTTGATGCGGTTTATTTGTGTACAGACATCCTGGATATCAACAACCTGCTTCTGTTGCGTATTTCGGTGTAGTCTGTTTACGCTTGGAGGAGTCAGTGTGCAGGGATTGTGGTTTTCTTTGTCTTCACTAATTTCAAACCGTTCAAACAGTTCCTCCTCAATCTCTAGTTCACCAAGTGTTGGACGCTGTTGAATTCCAATTGCTTGGTTCCCTGCATTTACAATTGTCTCTGATTGTAACAAGCGCGATGCTGCTTCCTCCGTGTCGCTTAAAATGAACTGCTTGAAGGGCCCTCCACCATTCGGCCTTGTTATTAACTAGCTTCTTCCTCAATTTCCTTTCATCCAGGCCTTGCCTGTTCGAACCGGCGGTCCTAGGATAATGAGTTTTCCACCAATTTTGTTCCATTCTTTCTTAATGTTAATTTTTTTCAAGCCATTGCTGTAGCCTCCAGCCAAATTTGGATTCATTTGCAAAATCTGGATCATTTCGTCAAACTGTTTCTTCATTGTGACTTTAAATCTTGAAAAAGAAAGTGTTAATAGAATAACACACATATATGAAGAGATGTTCGCGTTTATTACTATGGACAGGGTTCGTTGTCGTAAATACGGACAGCGTAGTATGTGTAAACTACAATGTATGCGTTTATGTAAATGAGATACTACTAACGCAATATGAAATTTACCATTTTTCATGGAACTTCGAGAGGTATTGGAATGTTTCTATCAGGGAATCCATGCCCGGCTTGGAGACTCCAGGGTGTGGGTGTTCCCCACCTTATGAATTTGGTATTACGAATTTGGTATCCTCAGCAATGTTTGATGTTTTGTTGCGTGGACGAGTCACTTAAAGGCGGCGATATTCAAAATAGTGTCGGCGCACCAGAGCTGAAAAAATAATATTCTCATTATAATAGCAATAAATATTTTTTGGGATTGGAGCAAATACATACCCAGAGCAGAATTCTCGCTATGGTTATGGTGTTAAAGAAAACCAGATAGACAATTAAAAATAATGTTGGATCCCTTTGTGCGTCGTGTGTATCAAAAAACTGGATGAAAAGGTTAAACGACAAGCGTTGCCGTGTCAAAGCGAAATAAGTTATTGTTCAGTGGGAAATTTAATACTGTTTTTATCAACGCGGGTAGTCAGCCATTTAGTGAGGGTAGTATCGTCAAGGTGGATGAAAACAAAATAATGGTGATTCGTTGATGTCGCGGAAAGTTGGGAAAAATGGTGGAAAAGTCACTGCCCTATAAAAGGCACTATGCAGAAAAGAGCGTTAGTAGTTGTGGAGTAACCGCCATTGAGTGCCGGCTTGATCTTCAAAGTTTTGAGATAAATTAATATTGTTTGTGCAGCCAATTTTAAATGAAACGACCATAGTGTGGTGTTCTTTTATATTTATTTTGTGGAAATAACGACCAAAGTAAGTTATATCAACCATGGGAAATGAGTATAATACAAAGTCTTTGTTGCCATAGAATTTCCCGAACAAAATCACCAACATCACTGGCCTCAAATATCCCAAAAGTGGGGTCAGCGCATTTGTCTTTTGCCCAGTATTTTAACTGTGGTTGCGGCAGCAACTTACTGAGAAGCCTCATCCTTTGTACCAAGAATTGAATAGAAGTGCCGGTAGTGTCAGCCTTTCCCACAAATTGACAGTCACTGCAATACCCGTGTATTAGATTGGAGAAATGTATGTGTAGGTAATAACAGTTGCCGCATATTCAAGGTGGAGCACAAGGTAACCCTTAGGGTGTAACGGCGGTTTCCTGAAAAAAAAGAAAATTCATATGTTTAAAAATTTTAGAAGAGGCATCAATTAGGATGTATTTGTCAACCAAAAATAGAAAGTTAACCTTAAAACAAAATTCTATATATTTCGTATTGAAATTGTGTTGTCTTTGTGAATGTCCTAGTGTTTGGGAGGAGAATGAAAATGATCGTATGATGCTTGATTCGACACTGAATTTATTTTTTCACAATTACATCTTAAGTGCTAGCTTACAAAATAATTCTTAACCTTACACACTATCTAGCAACCCTTATTTTCTATTCAAGAATACATGTAAATTGGTGACAGACCATCTTGCGTACATTGTCCTGCCTGCATATCTCTTGTGGGGGTCATAAAATCTTTATTACATGCTCATTATTTTATGCAGCAGGCAAACACAGAGTTGGGTCTACAACAGATGTTTACAGTAAATTATAATTTAAAAAAACTATTAAACATGGTCGTACGTAAATAATTCAATACAAAATTATCACTAAACTGAAAAGTAAATTCTAATAAGATAAGATGATAAGAATGTAAGTACTTAGCATAAAGTAAACTAAAAACTAAATAACATTTATGTGTTTGATTTCTCTTTCGGGACGAGCTTAATGATCTGAAATTTGCTGTGAAAAGGAAAGCCAGATGGACACTATCACACACTCACCACTATGCGACGCGTTTCGCCGTTGGTTAAGCGGCTCATCAGGCATATTTGGTGTGGATGATGGCTTACAAGGGCCGTTCTCTGGAAAGAAGTATATATTTCGAACTTATTGCAAATTAGCATATGCGAATTATGCACTAGAAACTCTCCAGGTTCGACTCAAGTTCTATTGGCATATCTTTTTCGCAGCAAAGTTTTTGTTTTTGTAGTGATGGATTTTTTGTCCACAACAACAACATTGCTTCCAATGCATACACTTGTTTTAGTGTTACTTTAGGAAGACGGGTTAATGGCTCTGAACGTAGAGACGGCAACTTCTAGTTGGCTGCACACCGAGGTCCGCGGCTTAAAACCCACAGCCAGGCTCGGCTGAATTTTTAAGTTTTGCCTTATTAAGGCGAAGATCATATGTTTTATGATTTATGTGTTTGATTTCTCTTTCGAGACGAGCTTAATGATCTGAAATTTGCAGTGAAAAGGAAAGCCAGATAGACACTATCACACACTCACCACTATGCGACGCGTTTCGCCGTTGGTTAAGCGGCTCATCAGGCATATTTGGTGTGGATGATGGCTTACAAGGGCCGTTCTCTGGAAAGTAGTATATATTTCGAACTTATTGCAAATTAGCATATGCGAATTATACACTAGAAACTCTCCAGGTTCGACTCAAGTTCTATTGGCAGATCTTTTTCACAGCAAAGTTCTTGTTTTTGTAGTGATGGATTTTTTGTCCACAACAACTACATTGCTTCCAATGCATACACTTGTTTTAGTGCTACTTTAGGAAGACGGGTTAATGGCTCTTAACGTAGAGACGGCAACTTCTAGTTGGCTGCACACCGAGGTCCGTCTTCCTAAAGTATCACTAAAACAAGTGTATGCATTGGAAGCAATTGGAAGCATAGTGTATATCTGGCTTTCCTATTCACTGCAAATTTCAGATCATTAAGCTCGTCTCGAAAGAGAAATCAAACACATAAATCATAAAACATATGATCTTCGCCTTAATAAGGCAAAACTTAAATAACAATTAGATAAGCGTGTGAAACACCAATTCCATTTCCACACACATGTTTGAGTCTTTCCAACATTCTTGTCGGTTTCATGCATCTTCTGATTGAACATATTAGAGCTATTATGAAGGCGGCTACCATCACCATTAGAGATAAGTGCCCGGAGATGTGATGAAAATTCAACCCGTATAGATTAAGCTGTGTGGCATCGATCATTTTCAACTGAGACTCTATTTCCGCTAGCCTTGCTGAGTGATTTATCACCATCGGCTAAAGGCATGACCGAGAAATTAGACAGCCGGTCTATGTCTGCTACGAAGGATGATTTGTCTTCCACGACCTTCTTCGATTCAAGATTGAAAGGTGTGGAAATTGTTGCTCCTTTTACCCTTAATCTACATCCTGGCTTCATCGTAATGATGCCTTGACTCGGTAGCTGGACTATTTGCTGTGAATCTCGACTGCAGGATACGTGAGCTGTTGTTGGTTGAAAAACTTTAAACAACCAGCGGTTGTTGGCTTGCAGCTTCGTCCATAGCGATTCCATTTTTGTCTCAGAGAACTGGCATCTCGATGCATTTAGGAGCTTAAGGGAATACACCTCACACGAATGGTCATTTGGTCATTCATCGTCAATGTACAGCTGACACATGTTTAACTCAGCTTGCGTCATTGTATGATAGGCATCCCTGTTGAAATTATATATCAGATAATGTTCCGATGGCTGTGCTACAACTTTCCCTCCGTTCAGCCTAATAGGCAGGGGGATGATCCGATGCAGCTGAGACGTGTGCTGCGTGAACAATGGAATATTAGCTGAAACCATCAGTCGGTCTTCAATTAATGCTGCCTTAGCAGTAAGAAGTTTGTATACCGCTCTAATTTGATCATACTTTTTTCCAGGAAATTTAAGGTGTTCAGGCATGTGCTCTCTTATCTTGGTCATTTCTTCCTGAAGTTGTAACGGCGTAATCAAGGCTGGATTGAGCTTCCCATGGTTAATGTCAATAAGCAGGTTTATCATACTCGACTGTACTCTTTCGTTCTCGCGAATTATTGCGTCCATATCTTTGGTTACCATGAATAAACGAATCGACTCTCTATAAACGAAGTATGATTCTTCCATAGCCGCCGTTATGTTGTTCATCTGATTCTGTATCTTCTTGAAGTTGGTATTTACATCTTCCATAGTAGTGCGCAGAATATTAACCGTACATTCTACGACCGAGGTTTGTTTTTGCGTCATGAACTTCAGGTTATATTGATTTTCCAATAAGTTTTGCAAGCTTTATTCTATTTTTTTTTCCGATCTTCCGCATCCATTGTTCCGAATAGGGCGTGCTGGCTTGACCCGATGAACTCTAGTGGCGCTCGTTTGGGCCTTCTACTAGTTCTTGAGAACAAGAACTCGTTAGTGTCTTGTAGACTCCGAACCTGCCTCTCCATAGTTCTTAGAATATTGTCGCACTGCGACTCGAATATCTGCAGATTTACGCATAGTGGCATCATCGTTTTTAACACGGTCTCGCATTTCTCCATGGATTCAAAAAATGGAAGCATATTAAAAACTATGATCATGTTTCATTTCGAGGCTACAACATTCAATCCAACCTGTTCCAAGTATAGTGCGGTTGATTCCTGCAGCTCTGTGATATTGGTTAAGCTGTCAGCGACCGTAGATTTTACATGAGTTAAAGCAAGAAGCAAAAGCATTAAGTAGCCTGCCAGATTGCCGGTTCTCTTTCCACTGGAGCTGTCAGGTTTTTCATCAGATTTTACGCCTTCTAATGGGCACAACTTGTTCACGGATCTCTTTATCAAGCCTGCTTGGGTTTTTAAAGTGCCGACTCTAACTAACCCATCCGGTTCTGGATGGACATCTTCGACTTTACCTAACGGCCATCGACCAGGATGTATGTGTTCCCTCATTCTTAACTATCACCACCTGTCCCCTCTGTATATTCTTCTTTTGGGTTTTCCATTTGTATCGTTGTTGGAGTGTTTCTAGATAGTTTGATTTCCATTGCTTCCAAAAACAATTTTTCATTTTCTGCACTTGCTTCCAAGGTGTGAGGACTTCCAACTCGCCAGCATTATCATCCATGTTATAAAGCGGCCTCGAATTTAACACGGCCTCGATCTGATTTATTGATTTATCCGCCGCTTCCCATATTCCTCCGAAGTGGGGACTTGCCGGGGGAATAAAATGCCACTGCACTCCTTCTGTCGCTAATATAGGTGCTAGTGCGTTATTCTCCTTCATGGCGGCCTTTAAATCTCTATCCAAATGTTTAACTGTTCCAACAAAATTTGTGCCGTTGTCAATACAACTTTTACCTCCTTTGGCAAACAAGCGCTTTAGAGCTGCCAGAAATGATTCTGACGTCAAACTGCTAACCGGTTCCAAATGAATTGCCTTTGCCTCCCGCAATGTATCCTTTATATGTTTTCTGACCTCTGCCATTTGAACACTTCATGTATATTGGTCCTGCATAGTCCACGCCACAATATGTAAACGGTGCTGATACATTAACTCTATATTCTGGTAACATTCCCATTAGCTGGAATTGATTTTCTCGTTTATATCGTATACATTTGACGCAACCCCGATTCAGCCGTTTTACGTTGTTTTTCAACCCAATAATCTAAAGTTTTCTTTTTAGCAAATGTTCCACTATCCGATTTCCACCATGGAGCGTTTTCACATGTGCATCCTTGATAATTAGATCACTCAGCTCTGATTTATTGAGTATTATAGAATGTTTATGATTATACGCCAACGAAGCTAACTGCATTCGACCTCCAACTCTCAACACGCCATGCTCGTCTAAAAAGGGATTTAATGAAGCCAGCTTGTGTTTATGATCAATCGGCGTATTATTTCTTAGTCTCGTGACAATTTCTGGAAATTCTTGTTGTTGATGGCCTTTTATTAAAAACATTTCCGCAGCTCGTAATTCTTCCACAGTCAAATAATCTGGAAAGTTTTATACGCGTAGCTTTGCGATATATCTGAGCACATACGCTATCACTCGCTTAAGTCGTGTAAACGATGAATAATCTTTTACCAAATGATTGAAATAGTTGGCTCTTCATTTCGCATTAACCACGACGGACCATTTCACCAGAGATTATTCTCTGGTAACTTGTCTGCTGATATCCCTCTGGATCCCATGTCTGCCGGATTTTCCTTTGATTTTACATATTGTCATTTGGCTGCTGGTACCCATTGTTGAATCTGCTTCACTCTTGTCCTTATAAATCGATCTTTACTGGAACTATTACGGATCCATAACAGCGCTATCGACGAATCACTCCACATAAATACATTTGCTTCTATTGACAACATTTTCATAACCTTTGTCATAAGTTTCGCTAATGAATTCGCCACACACAACTCTAGTTTTGGTAACGTCCTCCTATTTTTAATGGGATTGACTTTGCTTTTAGCTGCTACTAGATGAACAACTCCACTTACTTTAACATAAACTACGGCTACAAAAGCCTTTTCCGATGCATCCTCGAATCCATGCAGTTGTGCTGGATACGTGCAACCATCGAGGTATTCGAATCGAAATTAGTGAGTTTAGCTTACTCGTGAACCCTCTCCATTGTTTATTCAGCTCCTCTATTAGTAGATTATCCCATCCAATATGCATTACCCATAGTTGTTGAATAAAAAGCTTCGCCGTTATTGTTCCAATATCCATTACGCATAGTTGTTGAATAAAAAGCTTCGACGTTGTTGTTATTGGTGTTAGCCATCCTAATGGATCGAAGATTTTGGCCAAATAGGACAGCGCTTTCCGCTTGGTTGTCCGTTGTCCATTGTAAAGTTGCGTTGTAAATCCAAATGTGTCACTTGCTGGATACCATTTCAGCCCCAACGTTTTAAGGCAATCATCTTCTTCTATGTGACTTACATCATTCTCTCTTTTAGCGTCTATGCTTTTTAGGACTTCACTATCGTTTGAAATCCATTTCCGTAGCTGAAATCAATATTTTGCTAGATGTTTATTTATTTTCTCCTGTAATTCTTTACATCTTGAAATAGAATCTGCTCCGGTTAACACATCGTCCATGTAGAAATCATTTTGGATAATAGCGCCAATGTCTTTATCTTCACATTGAGATCCAATTTCGTCAAGCGTCTTTAACGCCAAAAAACGGCGCACATGCCGTACCGTACGTCACTGTCGTTAATCAGTATTGTTCTACTGGGCTTTCGCTGCTGGATCTCCACAATACATATTGGTATTCTTGGTCATCTTTATGTACCCAAATTTGTCGGTACATGTTTTCCACGTCTGAACTTATGACGAACTGATGTTTCCCCCATTTTGTAAGGATATCAAAAATATCTCTCTGCAATTTTGCTCCAGCGTAGAGAATATCGTTCAAGCTTCTTCCATTTGATGTCTTGGAAGACGCATCAAACACCACTCTTACTTTTGTAGTTATACTGCTTTCTCTGATGACAGCTTGATGGGGAAGGTAGTATTTTCCCCGTATTTCCGGCTCAACTCGTTCCATATGCCCCATGCTAATATATTCTTCCATAAACTGTTGGTATTCCATTTTTAGTTCAGGGTTGGCGCATAATTTTTTTCTATGTTCAAAAATCTTGCCATAGCTCTTTTACGTGAATCTCCTAATTCAACGTCTTCCCTGAAGGGAAGTCTGACCATGAACCGGCCATCACTCGCTAACGACGTTGTTGAGCCATAATTTGACATACAAAAGTCATCCTCTGTCACTGCTTTATTGTCGCTCACCTCCTCTATCTCCCAAAATCTTTCCAGAGTAGTAGTAGCTACAATTTTCTTTTTTTCCGTAGTCGGCCCCGACAGTATCCATCCTAGCTTCGTCCTCTGCGCCAATATACTATATTTTTTGTGAATACCATCTTGAAGGATTTCGTGGTAGACATCGCTTCCAATCAGCACGTCGACTCTATCTGACGACGTAAAGTCCGGATCTGCTAGCGTAAAATTTTCCCATTTATCTATATTGTATTCACACGTTGGATCCTGCTGAACTGAAGCCAACTCAGGAAGTACGACTGCCTCTATACTCACATTGAAATCGCTTAAAAATCTAGGTTTCACTTCGATAATAATTTTCGATTTTGCTTTACCGACGACTGCTCCTCCAAGTCCATGCAGTGTTACATCTGTTCTTTGCCGGTAGAAGTGCCGGTAGTGTCAGCCTTTCCCACAAATTGACAGCCACTGCAATACCCGTGTGTTAGATTGGGGAAATTTATGTGTAGGTAATACCATTTGCCGCACATTCAAGGTGGAGCACAAGGTAACCTAGAATTAAATTTTCTTATGAAAAAGGACCTAAAGGGTGTGACGGCGGTTTCCTGCAAAAAAAAAAAAAAATTAAAAAAATAAATAAAAAAAATTCATATGTTTAAAAATTTGAGAAAAGGCATCAATTAGGATGTAATTGTCAACCAAAAATAGAAATTTAACCTTAAAACAAAATTCTATATATTTCGTATTGAAATTGTGTTGTCTTTGTGAATGTCCTAGAGATTAAGTGAATTCAGCTGTGAGGATTTTTAACGCCACGATTTAATTACATTTTGTTTCACGATTGCACCAAAAGTTTCCTAGAGAAGTTTGGGTTAAATAATTGGTCACCTTGGCCTAGGAATAACCATCTTAAGTGAGCTCTCTTAGGGTAGTCCTTTAGTAGTGAAATTGCGTGAATAAAAAGCAATATATTCTCTAGTAACCATTTTAGGAAGAGTTCTTGAAAAAAATCATAGTACTTTTCTCGCTAAACTGGTGTTAGATATTCCATAAAAAGAGAGAAATATTAGACATAACAGAAACAAAATTAGTTTTAAGAAACCTTTTGTATCAGTAAATGTTTTTAATGTTTGATTAGTAAAATATATATGTGGTGATCTGTTTGTAAGAGGGGGTTTCCCTTGAGGTAAGGTGATGAGATGAGTGTGTGTGTCTTGTGGGGTTTCCAGTTAATTTAAATATGGAAATTTGGAGACCATGGAAGGGCGGGCGAATGTGGGAATAAAGATATCTATATTCCCTTATCAAAGCAGTTCATTTGTTTTTAATTTTTTCGTGTCGTTTGTTGTTCTCATTTAAAAAAAATAAATAAATATGTTCGCTCTGAGGTGTTAGACATGGATGGTTGAGAACCGAGACCCTGAACCCGCGAGCAAGTCGGATGGTTCATTCTAGCGCCGCCACATCGGGGAATGTAACAACGCTACCAGTATCACGGTAACGAACGATGGTACGAGACACAAAAGATTTATTTACATTTAAATGCTGTAGTGCTCTAACGATAGCCACTTGTGGTTTTCCAGTTAAAACAATATTAAAATGAGCTGTCACTGGTATAATTTTAACAGCTGTCGGACGAGTGGCTTAGAAATCACAGCAGTATGAAGTTGGTTTCAGTTTTTTCATCTCACCCGGTATGAGAGCTATGGCTATAAAGGAATTGATTTGGTCTATATATGGCAGATTTTAAATTTGGCGGAATTTTATCGTAATATCCAAGGTACAACCTAATTAGACAAATATAGCATTGTTGATGTATCTATAAAAAAAAAAAACAAATAAAAAAGCTGTAGGTTCGGCCGGGCCGAACTTTGAATAAACGATAAAATCCATTAAAAATTCTGTTAAAATCTTAAAAATGCCGAATGTAGCTATTATATTAGGGTCTATACGATGACATGGACCTGCATGGGTAACTTTTGTCCCAAGATATTACAATATTCAAATGGAAAACTTGAAAAAATCGATGAATAACGTCGCTAAAATCATCAAAAAGCCGAAGGTACAGAAGGAAGAGATGTACGCGTTTATTACTATGGACATGGTTCGTTGTCGTAAATACGAACAGCGTAGTATGTGTGAACTACAATGTATGCATTTATGTAAATGAGATACTACTAACGCAATATGAAATTTACCGTTTTTCATGGAACTTCGAGGGGTATTGGAATGTTTCTATCAGGGAATCCATGCCCGGCTTGGAGAATCCAGGGTGTGGGAGTTCCCCACGTTATGAATTTGGTATTACGCACATCGTCCCTTGCGAATTATCCTCAGCAATGTTCGTTGTTTTGTTGCCTCATCCTTGAAACTAAGAAACGAATAGAAGTGCCGGTAGTGTCAGCCTTTCCCACAAATTGACAGTTACTGCAATACCCGTGTATTAGATTGGGGAAATGTATGTGTAGGTAATACCAGTTGCCGCATATTCAAGGTGGAGCACAAGGTAACCCTTAGGGTGTGACGGCGGTTTCCTGAAAAAAAGAAAATTCATATGTTTAAAAATTTGAGAAGAGGCATCAATTAGGATGTAATTGTCAACCAAAAATAGAAATTTAACCTTAAAACAAAATTCTATATATTTCGTATTGAAATTGTGTTGTCTTTATGAATGTCCTAGAGTTTAAGTGAACTCGACTGTGAGGATTTTTAACGCCAGGATTTAATTACAATTTGTTTCACGATTCCACCAAAAGTTTTCTAGAGAAGTTTGGGTTAAATAATTGGTCACCTTGGCCCAGGAATAACCATCTTAAGTAAGCTCTCTTAAGGTAGTCCTTTGGTAGTGAAATTGCGTGAATAAAAAGCAATATATTCTATAGTAACCTTTTTAGGAAGAGTTCTTGAAAAAAAAATCATAGTACTTTTCTCGCTAAACTGGTGTTAGATATTTCATAAAAAGAGAGAAATATTAGACAAAACAGAAACAAAATTAGTTTTAAGAAACTCTTTGTATCAATAAATGTTTTTAATGTTTGATTAGTAAAATAAATATGTGGTGATCTGTTTGTATGAGGGGGTTTCCCTTGAGGTAAGGTGGTGAGATGAGTGTGTGTGTCTTGTGGGGTTTCCAGTAAATTGAAATATGGAAATTTGGAGACCATGGAATGGCGGGCGAATGTGGGAATAAAGACATCAAAATTTCCTTATTTGTAATTTTTTTATGTTTGCCCTGAGGTGTTAGAAATGGACGGTTGAGAACCGAGACCCTGAGCCCGCGAGCAAGTCGGATGGTTCATTCTAGCGCCGCCACATTGGGGAATGTAACAACGCTGCCACAAACTTTAAATAAACGATAAAATCCGTTAAAAATTCTGTTAAAATCTTAAAAATACCGAATGTAGCTATTTTATTAGGGTCTATAAGACGACGTGGACCTGCATGGGTAACTTTTGCCCAAGATATTACAATATTCAAATGGGAAACTTGAAAAAATCGATGAATTATGTAGCTAAAATCATCAAAATACAGAATCTCTGGAGGTACCGTTATATGGGGCCATACGAAGACGTTGACCTGCGAAGACAATTTTCTGTCTTAGGCTGTAATATCCATTACGATCTTCAAATACCAAATTTGAAACAATTCGGGTGAATAATGTCGCTAAAATCATCAAAATACCGAATATCTAAAGGAAACGTTATATGGGGGCTATACGAAGACGTGGACCTGCACAGACAATTTTCAGTCATAGGCTGTAGTATTCATTTCGAACTTCAAATACCAAATTTGAAACAATTCGGGTGAATAATGTCGCTAAAATCATCAAAATACCGAATATGGGGAGGTACCGTTGTTTGGGGGCTATACGAAGACGTGGACCTGCACAGACAATTTTCTGTTTTAGGCTGTAGCATCCATTACGAACATCAAATAACAAATTTGAAACAATTCCGGTGTATAATGTCGCTAAAATCAACAAAATACCGAATATCGGAAGGTACAGTTATATGGGGGCTATATCAAAACTTGGTCCATTTATAATACCAAAAGTCCTGCATATATAATATACATTTGAGTAAAATTTTATCAATCTACTTTATTTCGTTCGGAAGATAGGGTGATTTCCACAGACGGACGGAGATCGCTAAATCGACATAGAATTTGATGCTGATCAATATTATATACTTTGTGGGGTCTAAAAATTATATTACGAGGTGTTACAAACGGAATGACAAATTTAATATAACCTCTATACTATGGCGGAGGGTATAAAAATGATGGGAATATAGATGGGAGCTATATGTAAATCTGAACCGATATCGATCAAATTTGTCAAAAGTATTTCTAAGCTGTATATGATACCTCGTACCAAATATCGCTGTTATAGAGTTCATACTACGACTCCGAGGGGCACAAATCTCCAATCGGATGAAGGTTATATGTGGGAGCTATATCTATATTCTTGCTGATTCAAAAAAAATTCTGCAGATGTTCTCATCATAAATAGCATCTAAAAACAAAATTTGGAAGTTCTACCTCGTCCTTGTGATTTGTTGCCTCAAAAACTTGTCATTGACCATATAGTGCAATGTCGTAATTCGCCCCAGTCAACTCGAGGCGCCTTATGAGTTTTTCGGCTTCCCCATTCATGTTGGCCTTGAGATACCACAAATGTTTGTCACATCAAATAATCCCCATTGATTGTAATTTTTGCAAGATTACCTTGAGTTGCCAAGTTCCCGTCTAATCTCTGGTGAGATGATGTACAATCGAACAATGTTAGTGTCGATATTTTTTCCTTGAATTTTAACGTTAGGTCACCAAAATTCTCGAAACTTTTAAAGTGGATGTCTTCAATTTATCAATGGCCGCCCCTTATTAAAGTTTGAATTGACTGCATTAGACCCCTCTGACGTGTCACTAACGCAGCCGCACTGCTGGTTGCAGAAGACTGGCTGGAATAATTCTGTACTCCATCACTTGAGGCGGGAAGCGGTTTCTGAGGCATTTGTTCTTTGTTCCTTTTGATATCCACCTCGATGTTGTCGATTGCAGCTCTGTATTCTTCTCCAATGACTTGGTACTCGTTAGTGATGATATGGGATCTGCTCGAATTTTGTTTTCATTGCGATCGATGTCCGCGCTGAGTGCTTCCATCTCCTCCAACTTTCTGTTGTAGAACTCAACCGTTCTTCTTTCCAATGAAGCCTTTTTTATGTTTGTATTCGCCTTCCTCAACTCGGATATTGCTGCTTATTGTTGGTCTATTATTGCAGGTAGGTCCATACTAAATTTGTGATACACAACTGTTAAGATTGAGTGCTCCACATGATTCTGGCTCTTGAAATTTGCTGCTTTTTTACGGAAGTAGTTTCTTCCGTTCACTAAAAAATGTTTCAAATTCCTTACCCCTGGTGGGGGGAAATTTGAAATTTATCAATGAGTTTGATTCTTTTCAAGGCCACGTCGTATTCACCAAAAATGTTTATTAATGTAAAGGAAAAGTAGATGCACATAACTCTTGATTTGTGTAATCTTGATAGGCTTACAATTTCCTGCAATCTACCAAAAATATTTATTTTTGGTTGTTATTTATAAAAAAAAATACTTCAGCCAATAACCCATGTAATGTGAAACGAATCGATGTGTTTCTTTATTAAGGTTATCGGCCTACTTAAAATAAACAATACAATTATTTAGTTCAGTAACAGGCAAACAATATGTTAATAGAAAGGTAGCGAATAGCTCTTAACCAGGAAGGAATCTCTCCCATTTTCATTTGAATGAATTGCTTTTACGGATCGAAAATATCCATACCTTTTAAACCGATAAAGAGAAGAAAAGTAGATAACACAAAGGCGTTAGAATATGTAATTTCCTCCAGAAAAAAAAAACACTTTTATATTAGGGAGTTTTAAAAAAAATTAAATATTTATTTTCAATTATAAATAAAAACTATTCAAATTATTCCAAATTCTTAGGTCAAAAACCACTACTAAGAAGCAAATTCAACATTTGGTTTCGTTGACAGAAACAACCCGTTTTTGGGCCAAAGCAGAAAACGAACAAAACTCTATGGGACCACCAAATAAATTAAAATAGAAAATAATATTACTTTTTTATTTTGTTGTGGCAAAATATTTAGGCTTATATAAAAAACAACGTTTGTTTACTAGCGAAGAAAGGTGATAATGTTTAACAGGACGCAATGCAGGGAATACCATGATTTCAGAAAGAGCCACTAATCCTCATCAGTTCTTCCCAGCAGTCATTTAAAAAACTCCTATGACAAAACCTTTTTTTACCCAAGTGAAGACATCGTAAGCTTAATAAAAGAGGAACCAAAGAATTGAATAAAAGTTCAATTCTTTCGGCATTTCTTCTAAATTTTACAACCGCGCTTATAAACATTTTTATACCATCCACCTTGGAAAGGAGGGTATATTAACTTGTCATTCCGTTGCCAACATCCCTAAATATTCATCGCAGACCCCATGAAGTATATATTTGTAATCGGTATACAATTTTAAGTTGATTTAACTATGTCCGTCTGTCTGTCTGTTGAAATCACGATACAGCCCACATTATTTGACGTACACCTTCAAAATTTGGCAGTACAACTTGTATTGTGTCTAGGATGGTTGGTATTGAAAATGAGATATATCGTTTTGGTGTTGCCGCCATATAACCTCCCGATATTCAATATTTTTATGATTTTCGCCACACATTTTCCACGAATTTGTCTAAAAATTGGTATATGTAGGTCATAATGGTTTCACAGGCGGAACATCGCATGTATAGGTCCACGTTTTCGAATAGCCCACATATAACGGTATCTCCCTATATTCGGTATTTTGATGATTTTTGCCACTTTTTTCCCCACGGATTTGTCTAAAAATTGGTATTTGTAGGTCATAATGGGTTCTAGTTCCGGTGGCGAAACATTGTATGTGTAGGTCTACGTTTTGGTATAGACCACATATAACGGTACCTCCCGATATTCAGTGGGTTGATAAAAAATATTGCATTTGCAGTTTATAATGGGTTCTAGCTCGGTGGCAAAACATTGAATATTTAATTCCACGTTTTCCTAAGCGCACATATAACTATACCCACCGATATTCGGTATTTTGACAATTCCTAATCACATTTACCCACATAATTGTTTAAATTTTGGTATTTTAGAAGATTTGATAAATGACCAGCCTTGAAGTATAAATTTGCCTATAGAGGTTCCCGTTTTGGTATGGCCCCATATAACGGTCTCGCTCACTTTATGTTTTTTGATAAATTTAACTACATTATGCAAACGGTCTTACTGATATATAAAGTTTAAAGTAAAACACGCCAGATACTTTTATATAAAAATGTTTCCTTTACCTTAAGGTGGGGGGATTGAAAGTTCGGTGGTATCTCTCTCCACTTGTTATGCCTTCGTTTAACTGAATGAGATAGTACAGCCATGCAAATTGGTATTGTCTGTTACAAAAAAGCCTTCGTCGACTGTGCCTAGTTTATTAATAGAATTTTGTTGGTATTTTTGTTTAATCCCATAATTGATGTTTTTATAAAAACAACGTTTGATTATTAGTGAAGAAAGATGGAAATGATTACCTGTAGGCAAGGCAGGGAATGCCATTTTTTTCAAAAGACCCACCAATCATCCTCAGTTCCCTTGGTTTTTAAAATAACTTCTATGACAACCCTTTTTTACCCGTGTTAGGAGATAGTAAAATCAATAGAAGATGAACCAATGAATTGAATTGATTATAAACATTTTTCTCCTATTAACCTGAACAAAATATCATTACAATGTAATTTGTTTTTTCTGTTACAACAAAAACCCCTTCGTCGACGGTGCCCTATTTATTTTGCAAAAAATAAAATAAGTACGGTATCCCGAACAAAAATGCCAACGCAGTTCTAGTAATCTATCTTCTATATATATAAAAATCATTTGTTGTTCGTTTGTAATGGAATCAGTTGGGAAAGGACGGACCGATTTGCATTATTTTTTTTTTGTACAAAGGTTCGTCATACCCCGAATTAGGTTTTTAAAGAAAAAAATATTGGCCTTGCCTACTTTTATGAGCACTATTTCGATTTATCTAAAATGCTTATATTTGCCAGAATAATTAAGATGTCGGTTTGAAAATTATTACACAAGGTACTGTAGACTTCCCATCCAACCCTAAGTACAATTTATTTGGGGCAGAGGAACTGACCACGACTACTTTTTAATATATATATCAATTGTTGTTCGTTGGTAATCGAATAAGCTAAGAACGGCTGGACGGATTTTGGTTTTTATGCAAAGAAAAAGTGATGACGTCTACTTTTACGCCCATTTTTTGGATTCACCTAAAATCCTAATATTTGTCAAAATAATGAAGATATTCGTTCCATATATATATGGAAGTAGTAGTATATGAAGTAGTATCTGAAGTAGTATATGAAGTAGTATATGACCTACTCTTGACTCTCCCTCCAAGCCTAGGTATCTGTTTGGGGTCAGAGGAACTAGCCACACATACTTCTTTAAATTTATATGTATAAAATTTAAAAAAAAAATAGTAACACGTATGTTGAGAACTGTTTGGTCGAATTGACTCAAATTTTCTTTTGGTTTTTTGTAATTATAGTGGAAACGTTTTCATGAATGAAAAATTTGAGAAAAGCCTATAGAAAAGCGCGGAAGTGAAAAACTTGGATTTTCTATTTTGATAAGGAATTTTGTATAGCATTGTTTCAGAATGCCTTTTGGAATTGAAAATCGTTTTTGCAAAAAAGGAGAAATTTTGCATATATTCTATACAATTTTGATTTCAAAATACTTCTCAAAGCATCAAAACATTTAAAACCCCAATGTACTTTCAAATTGGGGCTATGCATATTGGGAAACAATAGAAAATTAAGTAGTAAACAGTTATTGCCGGTATTGCTTTCACAATACTGAGAACTTTAAATGTCAAATTACAGTTAAGTCGGTAGAAATTATAACAAAACCATACAAAAGGATGAATGTTTAGCGGCATTATTATGCCGAAACGAAACGTATATCTTCTAACTTCCTAGGAATATTGTATAAATGATCAAAAATTAACCTAAATATTTCGCTTTTATTGCGATTTTAACGAACGGCCACATACACAGACGGATATAGATTAACTGACATAGGATTTTGCACAAAATCGGCAGGTTATATGGGAAATCAGTATTAAAGGACTACACTTAAGTGTACTTAAATCATAAAATGCCACATTGGAGCACATTTAGTCGACGAATATAAGGAGATAATATTATATGAGGGCTATATCTAAATGAGAACAAATATATATCGTCTGTAACATCAATAATCCTAAGAATAATATTTGCTAAGTCTGAAAGACACATATTAAATTTGGTGAGCTCTATCGTAATAGCGGATGGAGTACTGAGAGGATCACGTGCATAATTTAATCGACAAAGATTTGTACTCTTTAACATACATTATAGGATCAATAACTTTTATAAACCGATGACACCTTATTTAAGATAGTTAAATTCAATTTAGAAATTATTATCGATTCTGACGACGAAAACTCCAACAAATTGAAAACATATATACATGCGTATATGCAACATGTCCTTCATTCACCATAAATATGTATTGTGCACTCTAAATAAATAAGTTGAAACGAATACAACAATAAACCACAAAACAAGGAAAACAGAAATAAGCATGAACACCGCCAAATTTGTAGATTGACGATAATTGCAAGCCAACATTGTTTATTAAAGTTTAGGCTTTTTTAAAGAGAAAAGCTAACCATTTACAACTTATATTAGGTTCTTAAAAATATGCATTACACGCTAATACAATGAGCCAGCAGTCCGGGTTTGCTCTGCAAAAGAGAGCGGTTTAAGAGAGAAATTTTGACAGTTCTTTCAGTGAGAGTTTGCAAATTCTTGCTGGACAAATTTCTTCTTGCAATCTCTTTCAACTCTTCTTCTTCTCATTCATCGACATTCAATCAGATGTTTTCTATTGTTTATTTACTTCTTTTTGTGATGTTAATTTGAAAATATTGTTTTGGAATTAGCAAGGCTAATTGTTTTTGGAGAACAACTTTACAAATTTGAAAAACATAAATATTAATATGTAATAAGAAAGTAAAAGATTATTTACAACATATTTAGACAACTGCCATTAGTAACAGGTTTAAAGGATTCCGCGGAACAGATCAAATCTATCTTCCTTTTATTGTCAATTTCCTTTTTATTTATAAAACTTGTGAAATTGGTGGTTGTTCCTTTCATTTAATTCTTTTAATGGGGGACAATTTGGTTTGATTTGACAAATCAGCTGATTAGTTGCAAGCTTCTGCAGTAATACCATCTGTTTACTTTTCGCAATTTCCTTGCAAAAGAGAATAAAACTACCTTACTCTCTCAGAAAGATTTTGCTGGACAATTCCTGCAGGAAAAGTAACCAAACTCACCTAATATGTATTGTGCATTCTAAATAAATAAGTTGAAACGAAAACAACAATAAACCACAAAACAAGAAAAACAGCAATAAGCATGAACACCGCCAAATTTGTAGATTGACGATACTTGCAAGCCAACTTTGTTTAGGTTTTTAAAGAGAGAAGCTAACCATTTAAAAATATACATTACACGCTAATACTATGGGCCAGCAACGCGCCCGTTCCGCGTTGCCGGCTCGTAGTTTTAGTCTTTAATGCATAGTTTTTAAAGCATAATAATTCACAGATCTGGCTTACATAATTGACACAATTTTTATACCCTCCACCATACATGGAGGGTATATTAAGTTCGTCATTCCGTTTGTAACTCATCGAAATAATCATTTTAGACCAAACAAAGTATATATATTCTTGATCAGCGTAAAATTCTAAGACGATTTAGCTTTGTCCGCCCGTCTGTCCGTCCGTCCGTCTGTTGTAATCACGCTACAGGCTAAATGAATTAAGATAGAAAGCTAAAATTTTGCCCAGATCTCTCTTTTGTCTGCAAGCAGGTCAAGTTCGAAGATGGTCCATGTCGGTCCACGATATCGTATAGCGCCCATATAACGGTACCCCCGATATCCGGTATTTTGATTATTGTAGCCACATTTTACAATGGAATTGTATAAAAATTCACACAAGGAGTTCTTTTTGTGTACTTTATCCCTTGGCTGAGAATTATCTATATAGGTCCACGATATCGTATAGCCCCCATATAACGGTACCCCCGATATTCTGTATTCTGATGATTTTAGTCACATTTCTAATAAAATAGTCTGAAAATCCACACGTTGAGATCTTTGTGGGAACTTCACCCCCTGAAAGAGAATTGTCTATATAGGTCCACGATATCGTATATCCCCCATATAACGGTGCCCCCCGATATTCGGTATTTTGATGATTTTTGCCACATTTTTAAACGGAATTGCCTTAAATTCTATGCAAGGAGTTATTTGTGAGTATTTTATCCCTAGACATAATTTTGTCTATATAGGTCCACTATATCGTTTATCCCCCATATATCGGCACCTTCACAGATTTTAACAGAATTTTCAATGGATTTTATTTTTTGAAAATGTCCTAATTCCTAATGGTGGAGGGTATTCAAAGTTCTACCAGGCCGAACTTACTGCTCTGTTACTTGTTAATATAAATGATGACTCGACTAAATAGAATTAAATAAAAATGTCAATACATATTCACGTAACGGGCGATTTATAGTGTTTCAAAATACCTGATCCTATTTTTCAGCCAGAGGTTTTACTTTGAAAGTTAAAAACCTAGTAATTGTTTATATAATAATAGTAATTCTTTATATTTGTATGTAGGATTGGGCGGACCAGACCAAAATGTAAGACAAATGGCTTCTTCGAATTTAAAATGCAAAAAATTGACTGGAGGTGTACCTAACAAGGAGCAGATATTATCGCCAACAGAAGAAGCAATATACAATTTAATACCAATGAAATCTTCCGTGGAAGCAGTGACGGTGCAACCCAAAGGTCTAGCTGGAAGAAGACACTCTAACATTAAATACTTAGATATGGACCGTGTACTGGCTTCTAAGTTAAAGGATTCCATTCGATAAAAATAGAGAGCTACATCAAATTCTCCGCCATAACAATATTATGAGAAGTATCGCCTTCGAGAAATCGAATCCAAATTGCAAAAAAACATCCAATTAGAACTTACTTATGTATTAAAAATTTATTTATATTATTTTTCCTGTTTCATTTAAGGCAATTTTAGTTTAATGCTATGAATTAATTTTAACTTATTTCTTCCTTTTTTTAATTTTTCGAGGTTCGACCTAATGTATTACAAGGATATTGATACAAATGTCATAGAGCTCGACTTTAAAGTCGCTTTTATCGAGAGTTCAATACCAAATTTGGAAAGATGAAGATCGTTTCGATCGACAATATTAAAATAAGCTAAAATAAAAAATTAATAAAATAAACGTAGCGTCTTCTAGAGCGTGTATTTTGCCAATAATAAATAATTGGGAAAGTTTATAAAATACGGGCTAAGAAATACTTTGAATCCAATATCAATCAACAAAAGACAATCTAATGGAAATTTTGAAAAAGAGAAGAAACCAATCTGTGAATTCAGGTCACGAAGACCCTACAAATCAATCTCTTTTTCATAGTTCGGCCATGTATTCACCAACTACTGAATTTGATTTGTCCCGAGGTGTGCATCAACGGGTCACTACGTGATTCAAAAGACTCCGATGGAGGTTACAAAGAATTACCTACATTCAGGGACATGTTGATGGCCATATATGGGAACCACCCTCGACTAACATCAGCGTAAAAACTATACCACTTAAAAAATAAAACAAAGGGAGAAGCTAGTAGAATTGTGTATAGATTTTCCATTGTCCGACTTTATCATTAATGCTTTAAAAAGCGTAATGAAACAAAGCGATAATCAAATAAAACTTTTGTTCGAAACTGCGCCAGGAATGTCAGAAAATAGTGAAGGTATAAAAAGGATCCAGTTAAAAAAGAGCGATTTCTTAGAAATTCAGTGTAAATGATTGGGATCCAATATTAGTTTTTTAATGTTCAAGTAAGCTTCCGGTTGAAACTCTGACTCTGTGTGAACAATCTCTTGAATCTCACTCTGATTTACCGAAATGGTCGAATATGGAAGATTTCCTATCCCGGAAATAATTGCGGAACTCAGTATAGTTCAAATTTATGTGAGGAAAGAATCCTTTATTGAAAAATTGTTCAAAATGCATTAGTATGCCCACAACCCAAAAAATCGAAGTGGTAAAAGAAAGAATGTACAATAATTGTTTAAAAAGTGCAAAAAGCATGTACAGGAGGATGTATTGCAACAAGATGCATCATACTAAGCTTCATTTTATCGAAAGTTGACTCCTCCATACCAAATACCAAATTTGACACGAAGAAGATCGTCTTGATCGACAATATTAAAATGTAGCTTAATAAAATATGGGTAGTGACAGCATGCGGCCAAGTTTTAAATCTGTATCTGAATCTGTACGGAATTGCAATGTATTTTTGCTTGTTTTTGAATTACAATGTGCATTTGTTTGTTTATATAAAATATATTTTTCATAAAGGTAAAACAATTAAAAAAGTTAAAACAGTATTATATAAACTAGTAATTTCTATGCAAAACATGGCAAATATTGGCCCTAACAGTTTGTTATATAGATTTTGGGTGGAAGTAGATATAGGTGCCTCTTCCTCAGGCATTTCCACTGATATTGCATTCATTTTTTCCTCGTCCAAATCCATTTACCGCCAAGCAACCATTTCGAGACTCTAAATCACGTCGTAAATTAGGACAAAAATTGTGGATGCTTCTTCGTTATGTACGACAAAACTGTACGGAATTGCAATGTATTTTTGCTTGTTTCTGAATTACAATGGACATTTGTTTGTTTACATAAAATGTAATTTTCATAACGGTTAAACAATACAAAAGGCAAAACTTTTTTATACAAACTTAACTCGGCTTAACTCTTGTTTAGTAAAAACTCTCGGATTTTTTGACATACTTCCAGAGATAGGCATTTGCAAACTGATTCCGGGAAAATAATGGGGGAACGGACCCGGATACCTGGATATTTGATCCGAAAGTACGGGTCCAAGACCCGGACCTACCTAAACTGTATAGGTAATATACTTATCATTTGATAAATATCAAGTGGACATATAATGGCTTTGTTTAAAACGGTTCTGGAGTTGTATGATAATTATTGACGGACGAGCCGATTATGTTCAGTGAGCATAAAAAACATAACTTAGCGGAGACGGTGTTGGACATACCCAGAAGAGAAAATCTAAGCCCCCGCCGAGGGCCATCTTCTTAAATGGAGTATTAAATTTAGAACAATTTTTGATAGAACTCCGGAACCGTTTTAAATAACCCTATCATGTGATCACTTGATGGATAGGTATTTTCAATGATGCCTATATTTTCAATATCTATTTAGGAATTTTGGGCCAAAAATCAGGTTATCCGGGACCGTCCTCCAAGAAAAAATATATTTTTCCGGGATCAGGGTACAAATACCTACCTCTGGAAAAATTCAAAAAAACCGAAAGTTTTTAATAAACTAGAATTGTTCTAAAAGTTCTTAAAGTGTAACAAAAGTTCTGCAAAAGAGAGCGATTGGAGAGAGAAATTTTGAAAGTTCCTTCGGGAGAGTTTGCAAATTCTTGCTGGACAAATTTCTTCTTGCAATCACTTGCAACTCTTCTTCTTCTCATTCAACGAATTGCATCATATGATTTCTATTGTTCGTTTATTTCTTTTTGTGCTTTCAATTTGAAAATATTTTTTTTTTTTTGAATAAGCAAGAATAATAGTTTTTGGCGAACAACTTTATAAAATGTGAAAAAACGTAAATATTAATATGTAATAAGAAAATCAGTGTACGAAAATAAACTATTGCAAACGTTTGCAATCCTTTTGTTCTGTATTTTCCCGAAGTACGAAACGAAACAAAATCAAAACTCAGCTAACGGCACTTGTTTTTTGTTTTGTACTGTTTGTGTATGTGAGCGGAAACAAAAACAAAACTGAATCATAAACTGACGCAACATTAAAAACAGAACAGTACAATACACATTGCAAACGTTTGCTTGTATATTAACTCATTACAAATAATATAGAAAGTAAAATTAAGATGAATTCATATATTTTTATTCATATTTGAAAAAGTTTTAATAAAATAATATTATAAAAATGGTTAAAAACATAATTTACGTTCAAATACAAATGCTCCATTTACTTTTGTTGATAAAATATGCTCCATGTTTGTTGGTGTTAGACGAAAACAATCTCTCCACGCTTACTTGTGTACATAGAATCGATAAAAAATGAATGCAATTGTTGTTAGGGTATTGTTTTCTGTTGTCCAGTAGCCTATAATATTTCCATTTATTGCTAATCTGGGCTGACTTTCATAAATTAAGAGGCCACGTTCAATATTTTTATGAGTGGCTCACTGCAGGAAGGTCTATCACAAGTTTTGAAGTAAGCTTCAAGTGCATCTGCAGTATTACTTGGTTCGGCACAAGAGGTTGAATTAGAAAATTCAGATTTAGAAAAATATATTAGAAAATTCAGATTTAGAAAAATAGTGTACAATTATTTCCTTAAAAATATATAAAATCTTAAATGGCCGGTCTTCTGTCATACGAAGTGGTCTGCCATTTTTAGTAAACAACTTCACTATAGCGTTTTCCACACTTTTCTTATCAATTAGGCATGAAATTTTTAATGCATTTTTATTAACTGACTGTTCATTTTCCATTTGTATGTAGTTTTGATAAAGATTAGGGTGTGCAGTTTTTAAGTGTATTTCTAAATTACCTTCATGTCCGCATAATGTTTTATGGCAGTCTCCATTTCTGCGCATAAATCGTTTATTTTGATCGTCGAAATTAAAGATTTCTAGTGTTATATCATTTTTTGGACGCGACATGGTCTTACAAAGTCGCGGCATGGTCTTACAAATTTTCAACTGGTAATTGTAATCGTAGATAGATATAGGTAGATTTTAGCTTCCTATCTTAATTCGTTTAGACTGTAGCGCGATTATAACAGACGGACAGACGGACGGACGGACAGGGCTAAATCGTCTTAGAATTTTACACTGATCAAGAATATATATACTTCGTTGGGTCTAAAATGATTATTTCGGTGAGTTACAAACGGAATGACGAACTTAATATACCCTCCATACTATGTATGGTGGAGAGTATAAAAATGCTATAATAATACTTTAAAAATAAGTAGATTTTTAAATAATGTTTTGTGCAATGTGATTGGTTCGTTTTTATTATAGTTAAAAAAGTTTAACAAACAAACAAATTTTTTATTTAAATTTACATTTTTGACAGTTCATTGTATCACTAGCTTGTTGGATACACTCAGTGTTGCCAGTATTGTGCAAAAATATATAGGCAACACAGTTTTGTTTGGCGAGGGTCTGAATTATGTAGCAAGAAAAAAAATAAATTTGTTTAAAATAGAATATGGAAAACGTATAACAATACTTCGACCTTTCACCAAGAGAAAAATTTATAATTATGTCTAGCATACAACTGAAAAATATATAAAAATATTATTTAGAATGGCAACTCTAAATACACCAGTCATAATTTCGGTCAGCAAACGTTTGGAAACGTTTCCTGGCGATTTGTTTGCAAACAGAACAGATTGGCAACTCACGGCCATAGTACATTAAAGCAAACGTACTGTTTGTGTATTTCTAGCATTGAAAGGTTTGTGGTTTTGTTTTGTATGAAGTACAAAACGATTGAAACAATTTTAAAAGTTTGTGACTTCGTGTGAGCGGTACGTTAATCGTTTCGTTTGTTTTCGATCGCTGAAGAAAATAAAAGACTATTTCCAAAATTTTTTTAGTCATACACCATTAGCAACACATTTAAAGGATTCCGGGGAACACATCATATCTACCTTTCCTTTATTGCTCATATTTTTATTTTATTGCTAATTTATTTTTTATTTCTAAAACTTGTAAAATTGGTGGTGCTTCCTTTCTTTTAATTCTTATAATGGAGGACAAATTGGTTTGTTTTGACAAATCAGCTGATTAGTTGCAAGATTCTGCTGGAATGCTTTACTTCTCGTATTTTCCTTGTAAAAGAGAATAAAACTACCTTACTCTCTCAGAAAAACGTTGCTAGACAATTCCTGCAGGAAAAGTAACCAGACACACCTAATTTATCAACAGCTCACTGATATTCGGCAACGTTGCCGTATGAAATTTGTTTAATGCAGTTTAAATTCAGTTTCATTTCGTGTGTTAACAAGGTGAATAATGCACGAATTAATTTGTGTTAAGTGACTTAAAGCAAATTTAGGCTGCCGTTCGTATAGGAAATAAGATTGTCTGAAAAAATAGAAACAAAAAATACTCAAAAACATAATTTTAAAAAATTTCAAAAAAAAACGTCGAAAAATACGGCTTGAATTAAACCGATTATATGTTATTTGGAGCTGCATAAGGAATTTTCTGCAATAGGCTGTAGTACTGATTCCAAATGTCAAATACGGACATTAAAACGATTCCTGTGAATAATGTCGCTAAAATCATCAAAATACCGAAGTTACAGTTTTGTGGGGGCTATACGAAGACGTGGAACGACATGCCCCATTAAAATAGCTTGCTTACTAGCCAAATATACACGTGTGCAAAATTGTAGCCGTCTAAGCGCATGATTACAACAACCAGACACACAGACAGACGGACATCGCTAAATCAACTTCGAATTTTACGCTGATCCAGAATATATAATTTGTAGGGTCTAACATGGGCATTTCGAGGAGTTGCAAATGGAATGACAAACTTAATATACCATCCGAAGAATGGTGGGGGGTATAACAAATAAGAAAGCAGTGCTTCCAATACCCCCCCCCCCTCCATTAAAAATAATAGCATCGGGATTCAGCATTCGAACCAGTTGGGATGGAGGATACAGTTAAAATCTGCAATATATCAGGTGGGCGTTACCATTAAATGGTATTTGAGGCAAGCAATCACAGGTACAGGGTAGATTTTTCAAAGTTCGTTTTTAGGTGCTCGTTATGATAAGAGCGACATCTGTCAGATATGATTCGAATTGGTATGAATATAGATATTGCTCTCACAAATAATTTCCATCCGAGTTGACATTTAAGAACCCTAATGTCCTATTATACACTCTATAAAAATGATATTCTCTACGAGAAATTAGGTACAGCCAAGAAATACTTTTGGCAAATTTTGTCGAAATCCGTTCAGATTTAGTTGTAGATCCCATATATATTTCCCTAATTTTTTGTAAATGAAACACACACTATACAATTAGGTGTCGTTTTGGATCGTACGATTAAATCCCGACTAGATTAATATCTGCCATATTTGCATCGAGACCGTTTCCTTAAGGTTAAAAGGTTAATTTTTTTTATATGTTTAACCCAAAAAAAAAAAAAAAAAAAAAAAAAAAAAATATATATATATATATATATATATATATATATATAAATCTTATCCTCGTTCTAAGATATTGAATATAAAACTGTTTTATCGTGTCATAGAACACCAAAAATAGTAGATTACCTATTTTATGTGTAAAATATGCCACTCGCAATACGTAAATATTTTGGATGACACGAAGTCAGAAGCGATTGACTTTTTTCTATCGTTTTACTATGTTCTACTAATTGTAGCAGACTCCAGACAATGCCCAACCAAATGTGGTGTATTGTGCTATAGGTAATCCGGGCGTCGTCTGCACCCGATGAGTCAGCACCTTCGAATACACATCCGGGCCCAGCACCAACGCAACCCGACTTGGTCGAAAAAAGGAGGGATCTGCTAAAGGCAATCCAAGGAATGCCTCCTTGACCTTTTCACTGACGGCTTCGCGAGGAGTATAAACATGACGAAGATCTGCAACCCTTGCCACTAAAGAGATACTTTGAGTGACATCATACACGGACGTGACCGTGATTCGGCGAAGCCGAATTCCATCTAGGTCGGAAGTGGGTAATTTCAATTGGTCTACCATTGTCGAAGAAATGAGACTCTGTATTGAGCAAGTATCCAGAACCGCTCTGACTGGGAAAGTCGGTCCGACACAATGAAGTCGTACTACTAGACTTGGGGATAAGGTCGCCACCGATTGTAAAGGCAGTAGGCCAAGGGAACTACCAGGTGAGTGGCAGAAGGATCGTGAAACTTCGGACGAATGAAGATCGGATCTTGTACTCGGACCAGACACAGAACTTGGGTACGGACGAGACCTTGTATGCTGGCGCGGACGGAACATGGGTTGAGAGACTCGACCAAAATCTTTTCTATTATCATGCAGCAAAGCATGATGGTCCAAACCGCATTTGTAACAGCTTTTGGTGCTATGGCAATGACGCGCTTGGTGCCATTTGCCCAGACAACGCGTACAATCTCGATGCTGGGCCACAATATTAAGACGCGACTCCAGCGTCATCTTCAAAAATTGTTTGCAGGTGCTCAGCGAGTGCCGGCGCAGACAAACCCGACAACTATATTTATGTGGGGTATCCGATTCGACCGCAGTAACGGTCGTACGCCCCAATTCTACGAAACGACCGGTCGCGATTGAACCCACAGTTATGGATTCCGATCTGCTACGAACGAGTTGTCGACCCGATGAACCCGCAGTTACGGATTCCGCGTTATTGCTATTTAAATCCGCAGTGACGGATTTCGATGTAGTGGCAGCATGAATATTTGAATCCGCAGTGACGGATTCCGTCGACATTTCTATCGGATCCGCAGAGATGGATTCCGATTCAGTGAGTTTCACTGCAGCGATTGACTTCACTAAATCATCCACTACCTCCGAAGTAGTCCTCTGTTTTTTGTCGGCCCTTTCCAGATGGTTATCAATTGCCGTCACGAGATCGATGTTGTACATATTTGTAGAATCCATTTTCTAAGAAAAAAATGCTAATTTAAAGGGAATTCGAGGATGAGTGGTCAGTCAAAGCGACCAGTTTAGATATGGACCGCTTTACAACGCCATTTGCTGTGCGAACATCGACAATTCGAACATGACCATCAATACCCGGGTAAATATTTTCTACTCGGCCTAACTTCCAAGATGTCGGTGGAAGTTTCTCATGACGAATAACCACGAGATCGTCTTTTTTAATTTCGCGTTCGGGAAATTTCCATTTATAGCGCTTGTGCATGCTTTTTAAATATTCCTCTTTCCATCTAAGGCAAAACAAATGAGCAAGAGCCTGTACTTTTCGAAACCTATTCACGAGCGAATTCAAACAAGCCTCTATTCTGGCTAGTACGGTTGCCAATTCTTCTAAGGTAAGTCGAACATTTCGAACTTGTCTTCGAAAGTGTTGCTTGAAACTTTTCACTCCAGCTTCCCAGAGCCCACCCATATGTGGAGCACCCGCTGGAATGAAATACCAATTGAGGCCCTGAGTTGCAAATACATTACAGACCGATTCGCAATTATTCCGAATGAATTCTCGAAAATTCCGACGTAACTCACGGGAAGCACCAACGAAATTCGTACCGTTGTCCGAAAAGATAAAGCTAGGACAACCTCGACGTGCAACAAATCGATGAAAAGCCAGCAAGAAATTAGCAGTGGACAAATCGGATACCGCCTCTAAATGTATGGCCTTGGTAGAAAAACAAACGAACACACAAACATATCCTTTTGTAATCTTACACGCACGGCTAGTAAATGACTTGATCTCAAATGGACCGGCGAAGTCGACCCCAGTTGTTGTGAACGCCCTATCAATTATTGTTCTTTCAGGTGGAAGCGCCGCCATTAATTGGCTACAATATTCCATCCTTAGCGTACGAAGCATAAGCTGGACGTCACCATGTACACATTTTATGTGGATGTATTCGACCAAAAGTTTCGCGAACCTACTTTTATAGGGAAGAATTATGGGATGACGTTCCGAATATGAAATGCAGGGCGCACGTACAAGACGACCATTAATTCTCATGACAACATTTTCGTCAACAAAGGGCAGAAATCCGAGAGTTTGGGTAATTAAATGTACACTCTAAATTATTTGTTTAAAAGTACTATGAAAATCATTGTGATTTTTTGTTGATTTTTTGGCAAAATAGTGTGTAATTTGAAGAAATGTTTAAATTTAAACATTAAATGTAGTGAAAACAAGAATTGCAGTTCGAAATGTTTAATTTTAAACATATAATGTAGTGAAAACTGGAATTGCCACTGAATGTGTTTAACGCACGCACAACAAAAACTCCTTAGTTGTCAAGAAGAAGAAAACAGAAACACGTGGCCAAGCTTAGTTGACACAAAAGTTGTATTTTTCGAGAAAATATAAATAAAAATGTATGTATGTAACATTTGTGAGAAAGTGCTTGTTAACATTGATAAATATAATTGTCATCTATACGGCCATAAAAATAAAAAAATTGTAAATTTAAGTGCTTGTTCCCAACATGTATAAAAGAGTACAATAATTATAACTCATATAAATCGCATTATATGCGTTATCATAAAGTTCATAATAAAATTGCAAGTGCATGTAATTATATTGGTACGAATTGTGGAGATATATATTTGCATACCTTACAACATTTCCCCAATAACAAAAAGGTGAAGTGTCCACTACGCCCATGCAAAAAAACGTTTGCTTCTCAAAATACGTTTCGATCCCATTTCTTTCGGAAACATTCAGATTTGGAACAAAACTTACCAGTGAAACAGACTGCCAATTATTCCGAAGTAACTAATTCAGATAAAGTTGATGGTACTTCTTTAAGTTTTACTTCAACTACTGACATCAGTCCATATTTGGTAGAAAATTCAATAACAAATATTTTAACACAATTAAAATGTAAATTTAATGTCTCAGAAGACTGCTTGCATTCTCTATTTACGGAATTGATAAGCTTATTAAAACAAAATATTGATTTGAATATTCGGAAAATAAGAGACATAATTGGCAACTGTAACGTGTCTAATAAAGAAAATGAAATAGTTAATTTCTTAAAAGATTCAAGTGTATTAAAGGACCTACAAAACATTTCTTCAAAACAAAAAATACAAAACTTCTTTTCAGAAAACCCTCATTTTATTGGACCACAAGAAATTTTTCTAGGTGTTGATAATTGTCACTATGTGCCATTATTAGAAACTTTAAATGCATTATTTAGTGATCAAGAGTACTTAAATTTTTTTTCTGAAGAGAAAAAATCGGATTTTAATTCATATTTAGATTATAATGATGGTCTGGTTTATAAAAACCAAAAATTCTTTAATTCAGGTGAGAAGCGTATTGAGCTTCTTATATTCCAAGATGCTTTCGAAATGTGCAATCCATTAGGCTCAGCAAAAAGGAAACATAAAGTAACTGGTTTTTACTTCATGTTAGGGAATATTGATATCAAATATAGATCTATTGTTAAAAATATACGGTTACTGTTGCTGTGTAAGGAACGTTATATAAAAACATTTGGATTCGATATTGTTCTGCAACCACTATTAACTGATCTAAAAAAGTTAGAGACCGCAGGATTGACAATTTATGATAAACAAATAGGAAAAGAAAAAATATTGTTTGGACAGTTGTTTATGTTATTGGTGATAATCCTGGATCACATCAAATTGGCGGTTTTAATGAAAGCTTTAGTTTCTCACAGTATGTTTGCCGTTATTGTTTTTTTGAGCGGAAATCCTTATATGAACAGAATGTTGGTGTAAACACTCATTACCGCAAATAAATATAAAAATGAAAAAAATTTCAGGGAAAGCAGACGAAATTAGACATATGTTGTTTTTGATGCCCATTGCGTTGATGTCAGTTGTTACAAATTTTGAGGATCCAATGTATCTTTTTCTCTCAAATTTGATAAATATGTATCGTTTAATTTGTGCAGAAAAAATTACAGAAAGTCAAATAGAATTACTAAATCATTTTATTCACATTTACTTTGATTTTAGAAAATAATGTATCCCAAACAATAATCTGAGACCAAAGCATCATTTTTTAAAACATTATCCAGACCTTATTAAACAATTTAGCCCTTTAAAAAATCTTTCGACACTGCATTTTGAGCACAAGCACCAATATTTTAAACAAATAGCAAATTCATGTAGAAACTTTAAAAATATAACTTTGACAATGGCCAAGAAACATCAATGTTTTCAAGCAAGTCTTCATGGTAACCGTATAAAAACCGATATCAAATGTAAAAATGTTGTTAATTCAGAAAATGGAATGTTTAATATAAATATACCGGGCGAGTATATATATGCAACAAAAAAAATTGAATTTCTTGGAACTTTATATAAAGAAAAAGATGTCATACTATGCTCGGTAGATTCGCAAAATAACATAAATGTTCTTATTGTAAACACAATATTTGTAAACAAAGAATACACTGACTTTATATGTTATGGAGAAATTAAGAAAATGTGGTACAACTGCATAATAAATTTGTATGAATCATTTGAAAAAATACGTGAAAAAGAATTTTCTATTATCAAAAGAAAAGAATTTGTATTTCCTCAACCCATAAAACTTTACCAAAAAGACCAAAAATATTACTATGCTCCATTTCAAACATTTGAAGATTTATTTTAAAAATAAGGTTTTTTATTCTAATAATTAGATTTAAAGTACTACTTTAGTATTTATATAAAATAAGTATAACATGGCGAAATTTTTATGTAAGATTTGGAATGCCGATAGATCAAAGAAAAAAGCATTCATGTGCGAAGGTTCAATCGATCTCGTTATAAAAAAAGGTAAAAAATTGTTTCACGGTAGTCTTTCTTTTAATACAATTGCATTATTATTATTTATTTTCAGCAAAAGAGTACTCTCTTGATGGAAGCAGATTTGTTTTGGAAAGCGACGGAACTGAAATAGAGAATGACGAGACCTTTCAATGTATTTTAGAGGACAAACAAATTTTAATGATTTTAAAATTCGATTAAATGTGGACCTCCAACCCCAATTTTGCCGATTCCAATAGAAAATATTGAGCAGACCAAACCAAACAATGACATCACAACAGAAAATTCACAATCTATAGTAAACATCCCAACGCCATCCCAAGAAATAAGCGGTGAAAGCTTCTATATAGCTCTATCATCAGATGTAGGCCAACATTTAGTTGAAGTACCATTAACTGAGTTCACAGACACCATAAATATAACATCTGATGAAGAGTTAATGGCATCAGGTAGTGCAACGGATGAACTCAACACTTTAGTGACCAAGAATAATCCAATTTGCGATAGCTTTCAAGGTTTTCAAATACCTTGGAACAGGATGTCTCCGGAAGTGTTGTCATAGCTTAATAATAAGGAAAAAATTTGAAAGTTAAAAAATTCATTTTGCAATGTAATTGTCGATGAATTACGTAGAAAAACATATTTTATTCCGATGAATGTCTACAGGAATGTTGCGCATATGGCTGCCACGAAATACCCAGAATCATTTGTTGAAAAAGATGAAGAAGGACGGGTTATGTCATACACTCCAATATCACTCGTTACAACCATGAGAAGCCGAAACAATTTTTTGAATTATAGCTCAAAAAAGAAGATTAATGTGATGGGCATACTGCTAACTAAAAGAAAACGTTTAAGTGCACTATCTAGGAGCTGTACACATTGGCAACCAGATATTTCTAGAGAAAACTCTAAAGATGTGGACTATAAAAAACAAATTTTAATTTCAGAGTTGGAGTCCGCAAAATCATTAATGTCCGACTGTTTTGCCACGAAACGTGCATATTTTAATGATGCACAAAATATACCCACTGTGCGAGACATTTTGCAGAACTGGCCAATGATATTCAACAAGGAATGTTTATTTGGCCACTTTGAAAAGTTAATGGATTTAGATATCCGAACATTCAAGTATAATTTTGAAAAATCCCGAAGCAAGTTACAGAAGAAGATGACAATATTATTATAAAGGCAATATGTGGTTATTATAATAAAATAGATGCATTGCTTTTTAAAGAATTTAAGGTACATAATATTCCAAATTAATCGCTAATGTAATACTAATGATGATTATTTTTATTTTAGTTCGGTACTACAATTGATACAATTCGAGATGCAAACGAAACGGTCACTCCATGGGCTTCCATAATTTGTAAGTCAATGCTGTATAATTAATAAGTTCTGAAATTAATTTCAAATTTTCAAGGTACATCCCCTACAGACGACGAGAAACAATCTATTGCATATGTCTGGTTTGAAGGGGAATTGACAAGTATTGAACCCAATATCGACATTATAACGTTAATATTGCAGATATTGTGCTACTATTATATATTCAATATAGAATACCCAAAAAATATTTCGCAAACATGCGATTTTTTTATGCGATATTTTTTTTTAAATTTTATTCTTCGCAATGTTGAGGCTAAAAAAAGAACATTAATAATTTAAAAAGAATAGTCAGCCTTTTGCAAAAATTAGATTGCATTAAGTAACCATATTTACTATTATATACTTAATATTTAAGTGACATCTACAATTTACATTCTAATTATTTTTAACCAGTTTTTTTTAAACAGCCTTACGCAGAATCTATATTATATTGTCAAAGCCATGTACATGGTTCTAAGATATATGTATTAATTTAATGCATTTAATGCAGTGTAATTTTTAATTTCTTAATTAAATTTAATATGTATATTTGTCATTTAATATTTTAAATAAAATATTTTTCACCTTAAATTAACTTGTTTTTTGTTTATTAATATTTATGCATCTAGAAAATACGCATGAAGCTGCCTAATTAAACTGAAAATTGCACACAGAAGTTTGTAAAATCAAGATAAAATGTCTAAAATCGTAAAACAAAATGTGTAGGTTTTATACACTTTTTTGTGTAAAAGCATACAACAACAAAGCTGTTGAAAATCACGCACAGTTGTGCGGCATCTTGTTGCATATCATTATCATTGTGATTTTCAGCAAAAATAGTTTAGAGTGTACCTCTATACAGAGAGTGGGTCTGGCGAATAAATCTTAAAACATACGCCATTGTGCGAAGTCCCTTTTCCAATGAGGAATACCTTTCGAGAATATCTTCGAAGGAAGGAGGAAAGAATGAAAAATGACATTGAACAGACCGTTTTTCAATGTCAGTCCCAAGCGGAGCCAGGTCTCGAATAGACCAATCCGACTTGTTTTGGCTAAGCCATTGAGGCCCATGCCACCAAAGAGAGCTCACAACTAAATCTGCAGGCGATAAACCACGACTTCCCAGGTCTGCTGGATTATCCTCCGACCGAACGTGATGCCAATTATGATTCCCCACATTTTCCTGAATTCTACATACTCGATTAGCTACGAAAGTGGTCCAAGTGGAAGGAGTTTTTCTTAGCCACGACAACACAATAGTTGAATCCGTCCAACAATAAACTTGACGAAATTCTAAATCGATCTCTTTGACGACGCCACAAAGTTCAAGACGAGGGAGAGAAATAGATTTCAATGGAGCCACTTTTGTCTTACTAGATAATAAATGCACGAACACATTTTTATCTGGAGACTCGATTCTCATATATGCTACCCCCGCGTATGCCTTAACAGAGGCATCCGAAAAGACGTGTAATTCAGCCGAACACTCAGGGGTATATCGAAGCCAACGAGGTATTTTTATCAAATTTACCTTAGCGTAACAATCGACGAATTTGCGCCACTCCGAATAAGTAGCGGGCAACAGGGGCTCGTCCCAACCAATTTGGTCTAGCCACACCTTTTGCATTATGATTTTCGCGGTCACAATAACCGGGCTAACCCAACCTACAGGGTCAAAAAGTTTGGCGATTGAAGATAGTACTTCCCGCTTTGTATAACTTGATTTAGTTTCAATAGGACAAACCTCAAAGTAAAACGAATCCAACCTCGCGTTCCATCTAATTCCTAAGAGTTTTGAGCCACTAGCTTCCTCAAACGACAAAACTTGAGCATCAACCAAATGCTCTGGAGGAAAACAATCCAAAATTGACTTGTCATTGGCTGTCCACTTCCTCAATTCAAACTTAGCCGAAGAAAGTGATCCGATCAACTGGTCCCTAGCAATAAATGCCGTCTCGAGGTCATGTGTTCCGGCCAAAACGTCATCTACGTACATGGATGATCGCAATATTTTGGCCGCGAGCGGATATTCAGACTCAGTCTCGTCAGCGAGTTGTAGAAGCGTCCGGATTGCTAAGTAAGGCGCACAATTAAGGCCAAAAGTTACCGTTTGCAATTCATAGTCGAGAATGGGTTTGGTTGGCGAGTCCCGATAAAGAATTCTTTGAAGCGGTGTATGTTTGGGGTCTACACGTATTTGCCTATACATTTGAGTAATGTCTGAATTGAACACGAACCTATACACTCGCCAACGAAGTAATAAAAATACTAGGTCGAGTTGCAAAGAAGGTCCTACATGTAACATGTCGTTCAGACTAATGCCGGTCGAAGTTTTATTGGAGGCGTTAAAAACAACTCGCAATTTTGTAGTTTGTTTTTCGAGATTAATTACCGGATGGTGAGGCAAATAACACGAAAGATAATTATGGCAGGTTGGAATGTCTGTTGGCTTCATGTGGCCAAGTTCCAAATAATCGATCAAGACCTTATCATATATAACTTTCACCTCGGGTTTTTTAGATAACGACGCCTCATTACGAATAAATTGTCTGAGGACGCTTGGGCGAGATTCTCCCAAATGTAAATCTTCACCGAACCCAGATCGCAAAGGAAGCGTCACCTCATAAAATCTACCTTTGGAGTCTCTACGCGTCGACCTGATATAATTTTCCTCACAGATACGATCCGATGGAGTCATCATTTTCCGCTTAGGGATTTCTTCTAACTCCCAAAAGCGCAACAAAGTTTTGTTTAAGGAGTCCTCTTCCGCGACGTCAACCATAGTGGCAAATGTACGAATTTGCGATGAAGGGATCGGTCCAGTGACAAGCCATCCGAAGACAGAGTTTTGGGCAAGCAACGTTCCACAGAGAATCGAATGACATCCCTCTAATAAATTTTTTGGATACAAATCAGCACCCAACAAAAGATCCACTGGACGGGAGTCAAACAAGTTATGGTCTGCCAGACGAATATTTGGCATTTGGGCTCTAAAATCAGAGGAGACAGTGACCGAGGCAGGTCTCCAGAAATGGACGGCAACACCAGCGCACGAGTTTCTAAGTTGATCGATGGATCCAAAGGGCTTCCAATCTTCAGAGAACAAATTTTACGAGAATTGGCCGAAATTGCACAATTCACACCAGAGATAACAGCATTAGTTGAACCTACCGGAAGTTTTAACCTATTTTGCAAACGTTGAGTTAGAAAAGAAGATTCGGAAGCAGGGTTTATTAAAGCCCTAGCTGAATACGACATACCACAATGCAGAATATTTACCATTGCGGTTCCTAAAAGGACTGATTTATTTTGAGAGGCGTGGAATACTTGCCGAGAAACACCCGCCGAGGATGTAGAGGGACGAGATGAATTGGCTGGTTCGAGAAGTGGTAGATTGATTGGATTCTGGCTCACCGAAGAAACAGGTGGACTTGACCTTCTCGGGGAAGAATCATTACGATGTAGCAAGGTGTGATGGCTTCGCTTACATTTCGAACACCGATGCTGACTAATACAATTTTTTACCTCATGTCCCTTACGCAAGCAATTTACACACAACCTACGACGTTTCACAATAGAAAACCTAGCCGAGGGGGGCATATTTTTGAAACGAGGACATTCAGATAGCAAATGGGAAAGTTGAGGACACAGGAAAAAATAATTATTCTGCGGAGGATTAGGAGAGCGAGAAGAATTCGTATTAGTCATATGACTTCGAAGTTTTTTAACATAAGACTTTGTGGGCTGATCATTTCCTCTCATACCATGTAGACACATGAGTGTCTGAATTCGTTCCGACAAAAAGCTATCTAGGTCTTTCCACAACGAAATAGAGGATCTTTAACACGCTAATCCCATAAGGTTTGTGTAATTTTAGGGAGCCTTTGCAAACAAATAAAGACTAAAAACGGATCCCAATTATCCGTACGAACGTCGGACATTGCAGACAAACAACCATTAATACAACGCTGGATTTGTTTGAGGCCCGAACATGTCTCAGTTTCAAGTACCGGGAGAGAAAACAATGTCTTAAACTGACTATGAATCAAAAAACGCGGATTATCATACGTAGATTTCAACGCGTCCCAAGCTAGACCTAAACTGCGATTAGTTAAGGGGAATTTAGCGACAATTTCACGAGCTTCCCCACTAGTTTTTCGAGTTAAGTGACAGAGACGCTCAATATCACTTAATCTGGAATTATTAATATAAACCGCGCTAAAAAGATCTCTAAACGTTGGCCAGTAGAGAAAATCACCTTCGAAGACATCAGTATCGCATGGAGGCAACGCAAGATTGTGGACCATATCAAAATTCGGCGGATCAATAGCAAAGCTCGAGCTATCCCTAGGATTCCCAATATTAGATATTGCGGAGCTAGAAGCCTGCGTACCCACATTCCGAGCAGTGTGGGTAGACGAGTTCGTTTTATTTAAATCTAAGTTTCTGCCCTTGACTTCCATTGGAATTCCAGACGGGGTCTGGTCATACTTAGGAATATCAGAGGGATCCTGATTTAAAGAAACCACTGAACTAAAAGATGAGCTAAATGACGTTTTTCGAGATCGCCGGAATTTATGCAAATATTTTTTAATGAGAGCGACACTCTCCATAAACAAGTCGTGAACAACCTCATATTTGCCATCGACAACCACAATGTCTTCAGCAGTCGTATCCTCAGCAGTAGATAAATAGTCGAGACATTTTCCAAAGGAACTTTCTAAGTCAACCCATTTTTTATTTAACTCGGCCCTTTTTACTTCTAAAATGAAAACATCTAAGTCTTCTTCTTTCGCGTCTTTAATTTTAGCACAAAACTTGACCATATTATCGGAAACTCTAGTGAAATTCTTGAGAGGATTTAGAGCCATGATGCTGCGAATAATATAAATTCACACGAAACGACAAATAAACCGAAGAAAATATCCAAAAAATTCTTTTGATGAACCCAAAAATTGGAAAAAAGTGAATATTCCAATGAACGAAACGATAAATCTTTGTAAGGCTTGCAATAATATAAATTCCTTTACAAAAAAATCCGAAAATTCGATTAAAAAATCAGAAAAATCAGCCAAATAATTAAGCTTAACCAACAAAATATTCCAAAAAATCCAAAAATTCGATTAGAAAATCGAAAAAGTTAGCCAAATAATTAAGCCCGACAACGAAAAATTCAAAAAAGTTCAAAAATACGACAAGAAAATCGAAAAAAGTCAAATAATCCAAAAAACCCAACAATTGATTCCAAACAAACCGAAAAATCAATCCGAAAAGCGAATAGGGCAACCAAATTAGCGAAAAGTTTCAAAATTTTGCACAAAATATTTATTTTCCCTTTATAAGAGCGACGAAATCCACAAAAATATGTAAAAAAGCCAAAAAATCACGAAATATTTAAAATAATATTAAATAAAACAAGGTAATAATTGCAAAAATATTCGATAAAATATATAGAAATAATTATTTTTGCAACTATT